GTAGCTTAGAGTCAACTAATTCAAACAGCTATGACCTAATAGCTGTTTTATTCATAAAGAATTAAATTAAGTAGCTACAAAAAGAACACAGGAAACTGAGCTACATCAAATTACTCCTCCAACTCCCTGAATTTTGAATAGGTCTTGAAGGGTGATCTGAAAAGTTTGTGTTGGTCAAAATGATATTATACAGTTAGGGGAATGTTATGATTGTTGGGCAGGTCACAATGGGTTCTCTAGGTACATGAAGAAAAGTTTTTAAAAACGCCTATCTAAGCTAGAGCACCATTGAAAACCTGGAAGCACTGGACGGTCGTTTCATCCTAGAGCGGACTCTACTGCAGTTCGCATCCATGATAGCCCGCAGGACTCGGCCCTAAGACCCTCAATGTCGCGCAAACACTTCAACATTGAAAATACTGCAATCTTCGCAAATTCCCATACTGATAATAATTACATGCTCACCGGTGACTAGATTTAAAACGGATTTCCTGGAGTTCTAGTAAGAAACCTTGGTTAATGGAGTCCATCCGATGTCGATTGAGATACAGTTATCCGCCTCATTAAATGAATGAAGGGTTGAGCAAGATCATGGGTTTATTAAAGTTTGGACATTAAAACCATTTGATGCTGCCTCAGTGGTCTAAATCTTAGGCGTTGGTGCGCGATACCAAAGGTTCTAGGTTCGAGTTCTGCGTGCCAGATCGTGGCTACACACTGCTGAGGGGCCCCATGCTAGAACGAAACGGTCTTTCAGTGCTTCCAGGTTTCCAACGGTGGTCTAGATTAGATAGACTCGTGAATTCGACTGTTAAAATTATAATCCTAAACCATCCGTAGTAAATACTATTTATTCACTTTTTTGATGCTAAATTGTGGACAAAAGTAAGACAATTTATTATTATTATTATTATTATTATTATTATTATTATTATTATTATTATTATTATTATTAGGTGTTAATAAGTAGTTCATCCAACTTTGAATAGTAAAATTGATTTATTTAGTACTCTAGATCAAGAACAAATCTTACCGAAGTTCAATTGAATTTATCCTGACTTATAAAAGAACATAAAAAAATCTATATAATCCTAATTTATTGATGTCTTAATTCAGTAACACAACTTATTCCAAAAAATACTATATCTAGTTGCCAGACATTAGCAATTAAATGCATGTAATTACTAACCAAACTATTCACGTCTGAATTAATGAATCTGTGCATGTATGTAGTCATGGATGTTAATAATTACCATAATACTCAAGTTACTGATTTAATTCCGTTTTAAAATGATGTATTAGAGGACATTATATAATAGTACAAATGTATACATAAATGTAAATCACTTGCTTTTACTATGAAAATTCTCATCACTTGACTAATGTTTCCTCACCGTTACTTCACCAAATTTTATAATGAAGTATATCTTTCCATGAAAAAGGATTGATGAAAATTTCATGACAAACAGATATAACTTTTGTTGCTATGACAAATTCTTGATAAGCTATTTTGCTCACGGAATGTCAAAAGTCTTTAATGCCTACATTCTGCATATTTGTTATTAAAATGAAATTGACCATGTATAGTGAAATATAGACTTTACGATATTAAGATACTTACTTACGCCTGTTACTCCTCGTGAGGAACATAGGCCGCTCACTAGCATTCGCCATCCAACCCTGTCCTGGGCGATCCTTTCCGGCTCATCCCAGTTGTTATTCATCCTTTTCATATCTGCTTTTATTTCCCGACGTAATGTGTTCTTTGGCCTTCCTCTTCTCCGCTTCCCTTCAGGATTCCAAGTTAGGGCTTGTCTCGTGATGCAGTTTGACGATTTGCGTAATGTATGTCCTATCCATTTCCATAGTCTTTTCCTAATTTCTTCTTCAGCTGGAAGCTGGTTTGTTCTCTCCCACAAAAGGCTGTTGCTGATGGTATCCGGCCAATGGATGTTGAGTATCTTGCGAAGACAGCTATTTATAAATACTTGTACCTTCTTGATAGTGGTTGTAGTAGTTCTCCAAGTTTCAGCTCCGTACAGTAGAACTGACTGTCTTGACATTCGTATTAAGTTAATTTAGGCTCAAATAACGTATTGATCAACAATGAAAAATGGGCTATTGATAATAAAGGATGAAACTTTCAGTTATTGGTATGAGACTACGTAATATCATTATCTAGGCTACCCATTTAATAAAATATCGGCTAATGAGTGTAAAGTAAACATTCTATAAAAGCTCAGAATATTCTGGTTTAATTTTATGGATGCTGATTACAAAATACTGTCTCAGCAAAGAATAAAGATTATCATCACTTTATAGATTTGATTAACGTAATTAAAGAAGATAGATTGATAGACATTGTACCGATGAACTAACTAACATCACGAGTTTGAAATTCTCAAAGCATATAGTCTACTGTATCTTTGTATTGTCCAAGCAGTTATTCTCTGTTTAGTATTTGACGAAGCTTATATGAATGTATTTTTATGAATGAAGCCTCGACTTATTTCTTATTTTAATCAGATAATATACTACTTACTTACACTTATCAATCATCGTGAAGCATAACCCTCAGTTTGTAAACAGACAGCAAGTGTAGGTGCCTAAAACTGAAAATATTGTCCTTCTTACTGTTATGCCTCGATAAGCATAATGAATGGTAACCTTTGGGACCCATTTATGGACTAATATTATGAGTATATTTTTATCGTATAATTCTTATGTAACTAAACTGTTCATATTCATGTCCCTCTTATTATGAGCTTTATTTTTGCCTATGAACTATTATTATATGATCTACCATTCTTGAATTATGCCCTGTCAATTAATTACTACCTCCCTCATTCACGGCCACATTTGACTAGTTCTTGTACAAATGTTGTTTCATATTTTATAGTACTATGTGATCTGTCTGGTTGGTATATAAACCCAGTATGTTTGAAATAAATGATTCATATCGCAGAGGCTGAGATTGGTGTTCTGGACTTAACTGGCTGGGCTAGGCGGAAAGCAGGACCAATCAGGACTCTAGACTGTTCGCATGGGTTTTATGCGTCATTGTTCCGATCGATAATTCACTACTCTCTAATTGGTGGTATCGTTACGTTATACAATAAACAGGGCACACACGTCACAAGTTATAACACTTATCATTTCGAGGCCATGCGACTGCCTAATTTGGTAGTTTTTACTGAAGGCAGGTGACGGATCAAGTCAGAAAAAAGCTTGGTGCTTTTTAACAAGAGTCTATAAGATTCAACTAAAGTTTTTAACCGCTGAGCTGACAAATAAAGATTTAAACCATTTAAGAATTCTTAATATTCTTAAACTTGTAAATACGTTCTAATAATAAATTACAACAGTCATAAAAACGAAATCAAAAAAATTTGTTAGTTAACTTCAGACACTTAAAACTTGGTCACACTACACTACAACCTCAAGTTTCTTAGCTTATTGCGTTCACAGAAAACTTTTACCTATAACAAGATATTCATTAAATAATTCGCACACTTTTAAACTTTTTCAGATAGCTTATTTGCCGCTAACCCATCATGTTCTATATATTTAAAGAACAAAGTGCATTCCAGTTGGTTGTAAAAATTTGGACTTGTACCGTTCTATTGTTGTTTTTTTGAGATTGAATTAATTACACATCTGCACTTTAATAAATGACAAAAGTGCACCGAAACAATAACATAAATACATATCAAAGTAAATTCATAAGTTGATCATATTTTCACATTAAATTCCTAAATGAAGTTAATGTTTGAGAACCCTTTAACTAGTAGTACTGCATCTCATTGCTGACGTTCACGTTCATATCAAACACTAGAAAGTTATTTTTAAAAGATGTTGCACCTAGTGTGCTCCTAAAAACTTTCAAATTTAGAAAGTTTGAAAATTTTAAGGCATCGTTTCAAGGACCTTATATGCTAGTAGAAGGTGATTGACGAAAAATTGAGAATCAACAAGGATAAACTATTGACTCATACTATGTACTATAAATACCATACTCTTTAAATAATTTGGTAGTTCAGTAGCTCACTAAGCAGATAACGCCTTGGTGTTTTTATTGTGAGCATCGAGTCAAGGTTTTAATGTGAACATCAACACGAGTGCAATCAAATCCAGTCAATCAGACAGAAATAGGATGAACAACTCATAGTGGATTTCACAATTTATCATAAGAGTACCTAAAAATGTACCAATTTAATGAATAACAAAAGGTTCGTAACTTAAGATAGAATGAAATATTTTGAGTATTTGGTGTTAAAGGATAATGAAATGAAATTCGTGTTTTTCTATGTATTCGGATTTTTTCTCATTAATCATTTCACGATACTTGCATGTCTTAAAATAATTCTTTTGTTTAGTCTATTCCTTAAGTTTCAAGGATAACTTACAATTATCTATATTTTCTGAAGAACTGAAAAGTAACCAGTATAGATTCTAGCTGGAAACGATCAAATATTTCAACACTGAAGTCTTAATATGCTTACTAAAACTACTTTATTTGCTATATTGCATAATTTTTTTATATTGCTTTCTGAAATGTCGAAGTAGTCTATTGAAAGAAACCCTGGATTGTATTTCTCTTAGTATATATATCAGTCATACAATACCTAATGAGTGGAGTTCCGTTGTAACCTGATTGGTAGCTGAGATAAATGAAAGAATAAGTTGATCTGTTCATTTATTCAATTACACTACTCGTTATATTTTATTATATGCTACCATTAACACTCTATTTGTTTGCACATGCAAATTACTTTGCTTATCTATATTACCATAGTGATGTTACATGTTGTATAAATAATACTTTGTTTAAATGCAAAATAGACAGACAGATAAGATGCTAACCTAAAGTTTCATATTAAGAACATTTCTCTGGTTCTTATCGTTAATTTTTTTAACAGTAAACTATATTGTAACAAGACAAATCAGTATTATAAATAAAAATATTTAAATTCTTGTGAACTATAATTTTTAATTATAGAATGCTTGACAATTTTATAAAAATTCTTATCATCTTACTAAGTTTATTTACTAATTTTATATCTGTCAATGGATTTTCAACAAAATTACGAAGTTGGGATGATGTTTATGGTTATGATGCTATATGGAATTCACCTGGGGAAAAGGAATATACATTAAATGAAAGAACTTTAAATAATAATGCATCTAAATACATTCAAAGTAAAAATAAACAAACGAAGCTGAAAAATCAAGGTTTTGCTGATAATTTAATGCTAATCGATGGTGCATCAAAAAATGAAGGTACCGTATTAGTTAATCGACATGGCAAATGGGGTACAATATGCGACGATAACTGGACATTGAAAGAGGCAAATGTAATATGTCGTATTCTAGGCTTTCCATATGCTTTACAAGCTACAACAAGAGATTATTTCTTTTCTAATGGCGAATGTAAGTTTATTTAAGATTTCATACAAGCTTTACTGAAGTATATACTGATTAAATGATTCTTTTACAAGGATAATTCCTAATTACTTACATGATTTCATTTAGTTATCTAATAAGAAAAGTATGTAAATGGATGGTTCCAGAGTATACCTTAAGTTGAACTGTTCCCAGAAAATGAGATACAAATAGTGTCAGACAGATATTGATTTTGCACAAACTAAATGATTCAATTCAGTGATTTAAATTATAGTTGTTATTTCCCATAATTTCAGTCATCAATACCAATGTATTTCAAAGACTTCATCAAATGTAGATAACCATTTCATTTTTAGAATACTGATTATATATATTGATAATATATTTAATGAGAACTTTACTTTTAGGGAAACTTGTGAATGATGATTAACTGAAAAGCATTAATAAAAACAACTAATAAATTCTCTTTACGGCGGTTAGTTTAAACGAATTGACTTTGAATAAAATATCCAAATCAATGATACGTTTAAAGGTCTCACGTAACAGAAGTTGTGAGTAAAAAGATTGATTTGTACAAATAGGATTGTTTATTTTCCTAAAGAAAAATATCTGTTCAATGAATTCTGTACATTCATCATTTGAAAAAGGTGTAAATGTTGGTTTCAAAATAATCCAAAATAAATTCATTTGGTGTTGTTTTACTTGTATCTTCCCATTGCTATTTAGAACTGCAATTGATCAGACTCTTGTTGGCATATGTGCATCCTGTGTGGATTGCCTCGATATAGCATATAGTCATAAGCTTTTTAAGCTAAGATGGATAGTGGGTAGCAGTGGAATGCAGGACGCGTGTTTCGTTCTATTTGTAACTTGTCAGGTGGATATACTTGTATCTCAGAGTTGATGTTTACTCTAGGAAGATACAAGTAAAACAACACCAAGTGAATTTAAACTTCACCCCATTGCACAAGCTAGTAGCTATCAGGACTCAGTAGCTAAATGGATAACGCGATAGTGTTTGAAGAGGACAGCATTGGGTTCGAGTCCTGGAGTTGACATCAACTCAGGGATGCTAGTACATCCATCTAACAATTCCCAAATAGGACAAAACAAGCATCCTGGATTCCACTGATAGCCACTATCCATCTTTGCTTAATCCATAATAAATCTTTTATGGGAAATTTTAAAATTACAGCATTGTTTAAACTAAAGGTCTGCTTTATTTAGTCTTTTTAGTAAATTAAACCAAATAACGTAGGAAATATTCATTTATTAAGCAGCATGAAAACAGTGTGATTCTATTAGCTTAACATTTACATATCTAATTGTACAATAGATAAATGTCTAAATACAAATAAATTCATATTTTAGTTCAGTTAAATGTAATGAAACATACTGGCTACTTAATTTCTCTTTACAATATCGGATATTTTCTTTTATCAAATTACATTATTATTTATTATTGAAGAGAATAAGAACAAAGACTTAGGCAGAATAGCATGAATTCATTTTAATTCGTTTGGTTCTCGTCAGTTGCTTATGACATGTGATGTTTAAAAATCATAATTATAAAATGGGTTTAAACTGCTTACATGAAAGAGTTTGGACGGTAGTTACTTTGAAGGCATAAAGGTGTAGCATAGCAAGGATGTAAATAAATTTAATAGATTGAATAAAATATTGTAAATGTATACCTTATGTAAAAGAACATTCTACAACATTGATAGTAGCAAATGTCCAATGGTCTAGAAACAAGTGAGTGCGTAACATGTAAACGCTGATAATAAGGATAAGACGAGTAAAGCTCAGTTAATTAAAATAAGATTACTAATCTAGAAGACAGTCGAAATAAAATGGCAAAATGATGTAATTAGTTAGGAGAAAGACTTTATGATGTAATAAAGGAATATTTGTCACCAAACCAAGGGAACATTAACAATCATCTGCTTTCGAACACGCAAAACAGGTTTTTGACTCCTGGTAGCAACGACTTCAGTAAACTTCAGAAGATTGCAGTTCGGATGTTTATTAACCAACTTGAAAGATTGTACGGTATCAAACTGATGCCACTCATCCAACAGATGCTTAGTAATTTCGCTGTTTAAAACAGTTGGACTCAGTGGTCCACGAGTATAATGCTCACTACGAGACGAAAAGCTGCTAGATTTGATCTCGCTTAGGTTATTCATTATATACAACTTAGTTGTTTTGAGGTGATGAAAACTCTCACCTAATATCTGCTATTCAATGGTCCTATAAACGGCGGAACATCTTTACCAAACTTATCTCCTGGTTCGTCCGATCTCCATATACCAACTATCTATTACATTGTTTTATAGTTTTACGTCGTGGGGTAATCTTGAGCAGTTACCGAAAACAGGAGATATTGAATAACTGTGTAGTCCTTTTATGGAACTCCCCACAAGTGCTTATCCGTCACCTTATCAGGGGTCTGAGCGAGGACCATCAGACCTCACGGCCAGCTCTTAACTATCAGACCACTAAGTTCTCACCTAATGGTTGTCTAACTAACTTCAGTCCCTGATGTAAAACTAAAAAAACTGAATAGTAGTCACAATAACCTATACTAATATAATCTTTCGTAAATAAACCTCTATTCATAATGTATAAGGAGAAAAAGGTCATAGAAAACCTTCGACTTAATACTATACGAAGTACAAAGTTATATTATAGATATTTGGGTTGCTTAGTGTCCTATACCAGCTTTAATCGGCAGTCCTATATCATTTGTGATATCTGAAAATCTTAGCTATTCCAAATAATATGATTACTAGGGTTTTAACTTGCCATATCCTTGAGTTATATATAGATATGAACTTTACATTAAATACATTTCATTCATTTACACACATAGACAATGATTTCTTACATGACAAATAACGTTGTACACTGACCACCTGAAAATTGATTAGTTTCATAGCAGTATTCTTTGTTCTGCCTTATGAACACACTCTGTCTCATGTTATGAAAGTACTTTAGAAAATGACTTATTACTGATCAAAGTTTATTTTTTGCTACTTTTTCTTTTGAATTTACTTTCGCTTACTTAGGATTATTATTTTTTGACCTTGAAAATATCTATTATATCGCTTTTCATATCTATCTACATACGATCTGATATTTCTTATTTCACTTGTCAGATGATTATTTACTGGATGATGTCTATTGTAAAGGAACTGAATCCTATTTAAATGAATGTGTTTATTGGACAGAACATGATTGTTTAAAACGAGAAGAAGCTGGTGTTATTTGTCTTAATCCTGAACCAATTAAATGGCAATATAATGTTAGGAATCCTCAAATTGAAAAATTGTCTATTACTGATATTAAAAGGATGAAACAGGTCAGTGAAAAATAAGCTAGCATTCTATAATCTGTACTAGAATTTTAAACATTTGGCTCTAAGGTTTGTATTTTTATATTTTATGAACGTTTATAAATAGTCATAAATCTGTTTTGACATTGATAAAAGATTGCATAAAACAGTCATCATTTTATAATCATTGAGAGTCTTAATGTTAACTCAACGGCGGCATACTGGTTATGTTATCTCATAGAATATTGGAAGGTTTTCAACCGTGATGTCAAATTATGCTAACAAAAAACTAGTAAAATATTACTAGTCTTACGGTAAATGCAACCGTTTCTTCTTAAAAAAATGAAAGTCTCTACAGTCAAAAAATAAAAATATTCCTTCTGTTTGACTGTACCAATTACCACAAACCAGTACGAGAATAATATCAGATACTCCCAAAGATTGTGTCATCCTCTCCAGTGATAATAAATCATAGTGTCACATATATCTGTATAATAATGAGTTATTTCAGGCCTTCGCTATGCTATGCAATATTTCTTTTAATTCATAAAATTATTGCAATCAAACTAAGATTGATTATTTAACACAAAATTCTGCAAATACTCAACATTATTTGTCCCTTGGTACATAAGTTTCGAAAGATTTTCAAATTATCTAGGGAAAATCTAGCAACAAGATCACACTTTTTCAACTCCTAAATAATATGTGATGACATTTGTTAGATATTTTTCTTTACCTAGTCTAAACTACAAGAAATTAGCGTATATAACTTTACTATAAATGAGTCGTAATGTGCCTTACATTTCCTTTGATTCGTTAAGTAATCATTACAGTGAAGTGACGTTTGTGTCACTTCTTGACGTGGTAGTTTTTAGTATCTAAACACTATATATATAGTTCTGGTTAGTATTAGTTTCTGCTCCAGGTCAATGGTTTCTAGTCTTAAATAATCTAAAACAAACATGGCCTAAACTCAGGCCCTATTATGTTGCTTGAGATACTTTCGTGAAACGGAATTTATTACTTTTTGTGTTTTTTGCAGATGGATGATTTTGATGGAGCTTTGTTTTTTAAGCTGGATGGTTTGGTCGTAAAGTTTTCATCATTCACAAGGACGATGAAAGCTCCATAACCAAACCATCTAGCTCAAAAAACAAAACTCCACCAAAGTAAATACTTTTGTACGTCATGAAATGGTTTTAACTATAGTACGGGATATGTTCTTTACGTAGAATTCCTATGTATTTATATAACCAGTAATTATCATTTCTTGGCTACTTCATGTATGAAAGACGTGAAAAATTTAATGCCCAAATCATTCTTAAAGTTTGGAGCATTTTCTTACTAGTTAGAAAAAAAGTCTAAGTGTAAGAAAGTTTAGCATTCTACCAGCGCGAATTATCAAATGCCATCATTAGAAGATAGACACTTTAATTCTGCATAACTTGGATCTAAATTTACCGGAAAATGAGTTTCAAGCTTCACACTATAAATATATTAGTATTATAAAAGTAAATCAGGGAACTCGGCTTTGGATGGTGTAAAAATGTTTACATATCTGGGCAGCATCATTGATGAACATGGTGGATCTGATGCAGAAGTGAAGGCACGGATCGGCAAGGCAAGAATAGCATTTTTACAACTGAAGAACATTTGGAACTCAAAACATCTGTCAACCAACACCAAAGTCAGAATTTTCAATACAAATGTCAAGACAGTTCTACCGTATTGGGCGGAAACCTGGAGAACTACGAAATTCATCATCCAGAAAATACAGGTGTTTATTAACAATTGTCTACGCAAAATACTTCAGATCCATTGGCCGGACACTATTAGCAACAACGTACTGTGGGAGAGAACAAACCAGATTGCAGCGGAGGAAGAAATCAGGAAGAAGCACTGGAAGTGGATAGGACACACATTGAAGAAATCACATAGCTGCGTCACAAGGCAAGCACTCACTCGGAATCATCAGGGTGAAAAGAGGAGAGGAATACCAAAGAACACATTAAGCCGAGAAATGGAGACAGACATGAGAAGAATGGACAACAATTGGATAGAACTAGAAAGGGAAGTCCACGACAGAGTGTGTTGGAGAATGCTGGTCGGTGGCCTATGTTCCACTGGGAGTAACAGGCATACGTAAGTAGGTAAGTAAATCATGGGCAGAGTAGAGTGGTATATCCTTTAACGTTAACAATTAAGGAATCACATTTTATTTTAAAATAAATATTTTTTTTTATCATATTCAGAGAAATTTCTCATTGATCCATAAAACTAGAACAAAATCTAAACTGACCAACTATGTTCATACAATTCAACATATACTATCAACTTAGTCATTCAGTTGAATGACTAAGTTAAGAAATGATCATCAAAAATGACCACTACAACATAGAAATTAACTATCCTTTTCAAAATACTTTTCTTTTCATATAAATGTTTGAAATATATATCGAAAGTATTATTTAACCTTATATAGAAAAGTGAATAAATTACATAGTTTCAATAACAAACACTAAGTTAATATTAGTGAATAAAAAATTGAACAAACTGTAATGTTAATAATTTTATTCCATTTAATCATTTTTTTTTTACTATGATTTCACAATCTACACTTATAAATAAATTAATATATTTACGAATTTGCGTCACCGTACACCATCTCATAACAGACCTGGTTGAACTCCAATGGTAACGGCTTCTCACTAGAACTCCAGGAGTATCTCTTCAAGTCAGTCACTAGTGAGCAGATGATTATTATCAGAGGGGGTTTGTGAAGATTTTAAAAATTTCACTGATTGAAATCATTAGTCAATTGAAGCTAGACTACTATGGAAAACCTGGAAGCACTCGACGGCCGTTTCGTCCCAGTATGGGACCCCTCAGCAATGCGCATACACGATCCCGCACCCCGCGAGATTCGAACCCAGGAACTGTCAGTCTCGCGCCAAGCGCTTAACCAACTAGACCATTGGGCCGGCAGCCGGTGGTGTTAATGTCTAACTTCAACCAATCCACGAAGTTGCGCGGGGTGCGGGATCGTGGATGCACACTGCTTAGGAGTCCCATGCTAGGACGAAACGGCCGTCCAGTGCTTCCAGGTTTTTCATGGTGATCTAGCTTCAACTGACTCATGATTTCAATCTGTGAAATTTCTAAAATCTCCACAAACCCCTTCTGATAAAAATTAATATATTTGTAATATTAAAAGACTAGTATTTGAACGGAGAATATTCTTTTCGATAAATTCCCTTCAGGTTCTACGATTATATATCCAAATGAATAATCCAAAAAATTGGCCAGGTTAAGGGTAAAGTACATCGTTTAAACCACGTGAATTTAGGATTGTGATAAACAAAATGCAATAAAATTATTAATGTTAAAATGACTCATATATAATGTTAACTTGAATCTGCGTATATGTCAAGTGAAATGTTAAGATCCATGATCAGAATAAATATGGGTCAAATAGGGTGAGAGAGAAATAATAGTGCTATTACAGTTCGATCAAATAAGTAAGACGTAATACGGAGGTATGAATGGGAAGTGAATGAATCATGTATAGGGGAGATTATTGATGTTTTTAATAGCGTAATGAGTAGAAAAATTAAATTTTTTGTCGTTTCATAACTTAGTTTAAGTCTCTTCTTCAGAGAATAAAAAAACGGCTTCTATTAAGCCATGAAATGTCAGAGAATCTAATTTTTTCTACTCATTGAGATATTACAAATTTATTAATTAACTTATAACAATCTATTCAATTTATACGAATATTCGTTAAGATTAGAACGAATAGTTTGACAGTAATTGATGATTTTGATTATTTCCCTGAAGAAGTCCAGACAAGTTAGCTGGACGAAACGTTGGAATTAGTTAAATTTCAATTGTTAAGATTATTTCAAATATAATTTCACATATAATGACTAATCTATTTAATGTTCAATTTATTTGAAATGATCAAATCTACATTTATGTAAAAGTGTGAATAGTATCATGTAAATATCTTTGTATAATAAAATGTTAAGTAAAATAAACTAATTCAAAAATAATAGTGTCTTAAATCTTCTTTCATTCGTCACTTAATATAATTCGTTTGTCAATAAAACTTTAAGTGTCGTTAGTGATATGCTAAAAAAAGTCGATTGTAATTCCTATTTTTATTGTTGCTTAAATCTCCTCTCGATACAATCACATGAATAAATAAACACACTTTATTTATAAAAGAAAAAATAACCTTTATTTTAGTTCTTGTTTCAATTACTTTACTCTGTCATGTGCTTTTACCAATACTTCAAAAAGGTTTATACCATTTCTTTCCTTTTAAATTATTATTTAAGTAATATATATATATATATAAACAAGTCAGTGGATTATATAGATAAAGTAGGAGATTTTCTAATTACTAGCTGACCATTCACAACTGTCAGTCATACGAAAGTATATATATATATATATATATATATATATATATATATATATATATATATATATAGGGTAATTAGGGAATTTTATTAAAATTTTATAATCTCTTATCATAAATAGTTTAAAAACAATGAAAGAGTTATTAAACTTGAATGAAATAGTATCTAAAAGTACAAGAAACATAATACCACATGTTACCAGTATACTTAATTGTAAACAACTATTTATATTTTGAATGACATTTTGATTTTTATAGTTATCATTTTATGATAGGGTATCAAAAACTTAATTCTAATGAATTCCACCTATCGTTCTTGTATTACCGATAGACTGTGTGTATATTCAGTTTTATTGTCAACAGAAGAACTTTTTTTGTGGATCTATAGTATTTAGTTCCCTAATTTTTATTTATTTATGGCTAAATACTAGAAAAACTTAAAAATCCATTCAATGACCTTTTAATTATGCATTAAAAAATCTTTACATATATTCGTTCTTCAAAAGACAGATAACCTTCAGTAAAGATTTGTAGAAATGATTCGATAATTTTGTTGAGTAGACTTAAGAATGAATTATATTTATTTATGTTATAACTTGTGACTGCAGATTAGACAGCAGCAATTTATCGATCGGAACACGTAAGAACGGCCTAGAGTTCCGATTGGTCCCGCTCCCCTGTCTAACCCAGCCAGTTGAGTCCAGAACACCAATCTCAGCCTCTGCGATATGAATCACTATATTTCAAGCACACTGAGTTTATATACCAATCAAACCGACCACAACGTACCAATAAAATATGAAACAACATTTGTACAAGAACTAGTCAAATGTGGCCGTGAATGAGGGAGGTAGTAATTAATTGACAGGGCATAATTCAAGAATGGTAGATCATATAATAATAGTTCATAGGCAAAAATAAAGCTCATAATAAGAGGGACATGAATATGAACAGTTTAGTTACATAAGAATTATACGATAAAAATATACTCATAATATTAGTCCATAAATGGGTCCCAAAGGTTACCATTCATTATTCTTATCGGGATACAACAATTTACTTAATGATTGACAATATGAAGTTTTCTCTGGGTGGATTTTTTTATCTACTCAATAGTATTTGCTGTAAATTACCGTATCCCACGTTAATATCAGTAACTGGTTTCTCAGCTAATCATTACATAATTTTGGTATGTTAATCAGTCAAAACTATCGCTTATCGAGTTTAGTACATAATATCAAGGAATTAATAAAATCCATACATTCAATCATCAGTAATTGTATAAAACTAAAGATGAAACTATAGGTTGAAAAATCGTTGTATTTAAAGAGGCTTTACATTTTTGTCGGAGTAATTCCATCATACTTTTAAAAACTTTGTAAATTATCTAATGCCTAATACTTTTGAATTACTAACACTTGTAGCGACTTGGTTACCATTTCGAATTAAGGTTCTACTAATGGTAACAATAACTACATATCCGCTTATAGTGGGCGAATCGAATTAAGCTTAACTAGTTTTGTTTTTATGTAGTCAGCAGTTATCATCTTTTGCAATGTTTGGTATATTTGAAAACATATACAATCACTTAAATGATGTTACTTCGTAAGTATTTATTCCTTTCACGATACTCATGGTATTCAACATTATGTATATACTGTTACTTTCGAATACACTTAATTAAACTTGCCTACTTCATGTCTGAGAAGTATGAATCATTTGATTTATATCAAATTTTACATAATAATCTGATTATGGATATGAAAAATAATTTTTGGAAAATCTAGTACATTCTATGTTTTTGGGAGCTAGAAAAGTCTGTAAAAATTGTGAAGTCGATAAGGAATTGAATAAAATTCCATAATTACTTAAGGAAAATTGATTTCCCTCCAGATTCACTAATAGCAACCCATTCCTCTCTAGTTCTACAGCCTTGTCAGTTATTTTCGATATGTGTCCGTTTCCTTTTGATTTGAATCAAGTTTGTTAGTTGGACAATCATCATCCATATTACTCTCCTGTATGTTATCTTTACTTTATCTTCTCGTTATAACTGCTCAGTTATAACGTAACTCATATTCGACACTTAGTCTCCAGTAACCTTGTTAATAATCTACTAAATTTCATTTTATTATATGCTACTGTGTGTAAAATAACTATGAACTCAGCAGAACTGTTTAAATAAATGGAACAACTGCAAAGAAAATTTTCTTTGTTGAACTGTTTTTATTATGCTTGAGAGTAAGAGAAAAAGTTGTGGAATATTAAATGTTCTGAACAATAAAGGAGATTTCGATATGTGAACGTAAATAGTATCGGATTATGAACACATCAAACCAGCCTAGTATTCATCGCTTGGTAAGTAGAAACTAAAGTTTTGAGCTTTAAGCTTTCACATTTCTGAATACTCATGTACAAAATACTACTTTTCACACTTTTTTGAAACAATAAATTAATCAAATTAGTTCTAATGGTAAGATATCTTACACTCACTGTTGATTCTTGTCAATAAAATCAGTTTACTGGCCATCTAGGATTAAACAAACGTCAAATTGACAGCCAAGGATGTTAATTCCTGAAAAATTGAGATAATAGGCTACATTACCGTCCTTGATAGTTGACTCATTTGTAATTTTTTATTTTAATATCATACTACTATTAAGTAGTTGAAGTATGTTCAGTGAAATATTTGTTAGAACGATGTTTTGATATTCCTGTCTGAACATTTTAGTAATGTTGCGATCACTCAGTTTGATGGCTTAATCATACAGTTTTCACTGTCCCTCTATAAAACGCCATCAGTAAAAACTTAAAATTGAAGTGAAGACATGATCAGAAATCAGTAAACATGAAATATAAGCGCTTATCGATTTCAGTCTATGTATTATTGGATGTATCTATCCATACTAGCTAAAGTATATTTCGAAAGGATATAATTTTAGTCCTTTTAAGCGGGCCAGTTCTGAGTTGTATCTGCAACCAATTTTTATCAGTTACGATACTTACGAAAACTTTATCAAGACACTGTTATCCAAAGTTTTTGTTAATGTCGTCCAAACGTCCTAAGGTATATCCGTCATATTCTTTGCGACTGCAAACATGTACTGATGATGAATACCAACGTATACTTAATACTTAGATGAACTCTGCAAACATTCAACTTAATATCAATAAAATGTAACATCTTAAACTTAATTTATGGCGCATGATTGACAATTTATTAAAATTTAACTGGTTAAAAATTATTCTCTAGTCAATATTTGCATCATTATTATATCTCTCAGAATTTCTCAAAATGCCTGATTCGTCGATTAGAAGGCACTAGAAAACCATTGCCAAAAGAACTACTCAGTTCCCACAAGGCTTTTATAAATGAATACTTCGTTGTTATTTTAAACTATGGACCAACGTTAATTTTATACCTAATTTTCTACTCTAGGCATTCTTCAATTTATAACTGTTCAAAGAAGCATTTTTCTTATGATTAGTTGATTTTTTAACATGTTAATATCCGCTCAACACTTATGGAAAGAGTAAGTGCTGCTATAACCACCCAAGTGACATTTTTTATTAATGGCCTGAAGAAAAAGAGAATAGAAATTGTTTATGTTCAATCAAGCCAAAACTATGAGAAGCTTTCATTTTGTCTAAGTGCACCCACTGGTTGCGAGGCTAGAGGAAAATATGGATCTCTTAGAAGGTGAATTCTTACTGGAAAAACAGCTTTAAATAACTCAACCACTAATAAGCTGAGAAATTTTACCAACTTTGTTCTATCTTGTTCCTGAATCTTGAGCTCCACACTTCATTGACATTATTTCCAACAGTATAACAGAATTACACCGTTATCCTAACTGTGATGCATTCAGTATTTGACGCCAATGTTATGGTTTACGTTGTGACACGGGGTGTTCGAAATCCGATACTGATACACGGTGTGCTACGCGCTAACCCCTCCTCAACTGACTACTTGAGAGAGAACACAAGAGTGAGCAAGAAAGTGTATTAGACTACCGCATAAATTGCGAAAATACTCATTCATAAACATACCACTCTGTCCTTAGTAAATCGACTCATTTATTAGCCAATGAAATGTACTTGTCCTTTAGGTCCTTCTGATCTTTGTAGATTGACCTTCTCATTAGGCTACATCGTGGTAAGCCAGTAAAGCAGCTGACTATCTGCTCTATGCTTCAAATAATCCAATCTTCTCCGAGTAAAAAAATACTTATGAAAGTATTGAAGGCCATTATAAATAAGATAACGCTTACTAGCACGCATGCATGTGACACAATCTCTTGAGGAGGACAGAACACTTGTTTCCAAAATTCTTAAGTGTTCCAGAAAATAGTTTCATTAAACTTATGAACGCGTTTATCTAATCGTACATAAATATCTAAATAGTGTATTATTATACAGAAACGTCAATCATCACTTCGTTTTCACCCACGCCTAGATTGCTAGAAATGTTTTAGTTCGAAAATTTTATTACTGAGCATTGAATATTCATTTTAATATAATAGTAAGGAAAGTAAGGTAATGAGGGTTAGTAATTCAAATTTTATACTACTGAACTTTTAATTTTAGCAAATATTTTGGTCTGAGCTGGAAACATTTGAAAGCAGTAATCTTTTTATTGTCAAGGCTAGAGTTCCACAAGGTAGAAATCGACGAATGGTTATTGGAGCTATTTGTGTCGACCAGTTTCGTGGAGCTGAAGCGAATGTAGCATGTCGAAGCATGGATTATTCATTTGCTTCATCATATTCTTCAGTAAGTTAATTAATTTCATTGTAACCACTATTTCTAGGTCAGATTTATCATAAATTAAGAGTAATGAATTTGCAAATACATAGTTTTTTAGTATTTCGAACTCATGATATTGGGTAACTTTGTGACAAATGTCTGAGTTTCATTTACCAAGCTAAATTATCTTTACTTTTTACAAACTTTTGAAGCTGACACCAAATTTTTAGGTGACTAACATTAACTATGTTACTCATTAAGATATAGCTAAGAAGTCCATAATCTATAACAGTAGCGGCTTTGTTCATTGTAATGATAAACTAATTTAAAGTTTATCAATATTTGTGAGGGTGTTTATTTTCCTGTTATTAACAATTAAGAGAAACTTCAGTCCATCTTTTTCGGAGTATAGGCTCCTTGAACTAACGGTATGTATCCACAAGTTGTCATCAAAAATAAAATCCACTAGGTGTTGATATTTATACTGGGACATGAAAAAAATACTCACAACTTCAGACGCCCAGGCGTTACTTACTAGGCTACAGAATCGTAATACCCACCAACTGACTAAACTTCTATAATGTTTATTACTGATTGTTAATATTCAAAATAAGATCAATCGAATTTTTGTGAATATTCATTAAGACTCATTAAATAATCTCAGTATCCTTTATATCAACCACAGTATCAATCTCTAACTCATTCATGTAATAATGTTTATCAAATTATTATCTTTTCATAAGCTTTTTTACGATACAATTTCTACAGAAGCCAATAATGTACTTATAATTTAAATGTGCTGATTTTTAATATGCTAGTCAATAACTTACGGACTTTCGAAACTGTTATGTGCACGTACAGTTGTCTTTTCTTCTACGTATTATAATGTCCATCTTTGCAAGATGATAACACAATATTGACTGGAACAGAAGTTAAATAAAGTTCCGTTTACTTTATGTGAATTGTTTGTTCTCTCTTTCATTTTTTAAGCTTTCTACAGAAGACATTTTTCCAAGCTTTTCGTAAATTGTTTTTTTACACATCATTTATTATCACTCTTCAGTAAAAATGAAATCAGTTAGTTAAAGTCTCTTGTAAAGGATTATAGATTTAGTATCCAACCCACTGATTATAAGTGACTAAATATACATTTAATATCATTTTATGTGACAAAGCAGTTGTAAAGGACTTAAATCACTGAAATAATAGTTCTTTGATTGAATGTTGACCTTTCAGTAAAATTCTAAAATTATATAGTTTCATTGCACTCTTAATCCTTTGGTTCCAGAGGTTATGATTCAGAAATAAATTAACCAACGTCCTTCATTAGATATCTACAACATACCAAGAGTTTTGCAATCCTTTTATTACAACCTGTTAAAGACACTGTATTTCATGGTATACGGATCCAAAGAGTTTATTGAAAATTGAATCAGATCAGTAGTCTAATGTAACGACATTTCCATATCTAATCGAGAACTCATTAACACCACTTACTGAATATATGCCCACTAACATTTATGTAAAACAACAGGTGCTTCATAATATAAATATAACAGATATTTGACTGCACATAAACATTCTTTGTTTCTGATTCACAGATACTTTTCTTCCCAAATTCACAATCAAACAACAAACAGGAATGAACTGATTAAATACTTAATTTTAGTGTAAGACTACTCAGTAAAACCTAATTGATACCGTCTGAAATTTAATAAAGGCACTTTTATTATATTACCGGTTTATTTAGCATTCACCTAGTGATAGTCTTTTAGATTTAAAAATCATATGCTATGTAACTAAATTGCATATAATTTGATAAGTGATGATTTTCCTACCTAAATCATTGCAATCATAAAATGCTGTTTATTTTAAGGTTCCACTGAAAAACGTGAAGACTTTTACCATACCTTATCCGGTTGTACGAATCGGGCATTGTTTTGGAAATGAATCAAAATTAGAAGATTGTGTTGCATTCACTGATCCAAACGGAGTACCATGTTCAAATAATAGTTTGGGAATAGTAGTAAACTGTTCAACAGGTAAACTGGTAATTTTAAATTTAGATAATTATTTTGTTATTCATACATATCATGTACAGTAGTTTGTATTGATGACTGTTGTTAATCCAGTCATTCAGTATCAAACTGCAGAGTCAAATGCAATGAAAACAGTTGACATTTTTATGATCTCAAGTGTTTATGATAATTGTTTCGATCTATCATGTGAAGGATGTTTGACAGAGACAGCTAATGAGCCAACACCTTAAGTTATACGTTAATTAAGTGAATTCCCTAAATAGAAACTAATACTATTTATGCAGAATATCAAATAGAACTTAAATTATACAAGTTTAGATATCTTTCTTAATACAAATTTTCCACATTCCATAAGATGTATAGAGTTTATGTAAAACTATCGAGCACAACGGCTAAGCAAGTCATACACTTCGTAATGGAGTGAATTTTTGCGTAGTCATGAAGTGTTTTTAATATTTCGTGAATAATATTTCATTCACAAGACAATTCTAAATCTAGAAGAAAAGCAATTTATACGTCTAATAAAGTTTATTTATAACCCCTCGATGAAATTGCCATGCAGTTGAACAAAATAGACTAAATAATGACTTTTACAAGATTACCAGAATACTATTATTTCTTTCAGTCAGTAATGATAAACATTATCATTATTTTGAATCTCAGTTTATGTTCATATTTTTTGTAAACCTACACACGATCCAAGTATCCCGAAATCGAATGAGTCCTAAGAATCAACTAAAAGGTATAATACAAGCAATGTGTATTGATGTTCGGACAAGAATGATAATTATTGGTTATTTCCTTCGTTAAACTAGTAGGTAGTTTGACAGGTACTAGATAAGTTATCTATTCTCTTACACTTATTATTGTGATTGTTATCGGTTTTTGGTGTGTAAATATACTTACGTTCTAGTCAGGCTAGTCACGTGTTCTTGATCTGAGTTGTGTTGACATCCTGTAGAATAGACACTGGGAGGTATCTAGTGTAGATATTTGTCTACGGCTAATTAGCGTCCCATTTGTGTAGACGAGGAAAACCGAGAGTTATAACATATATGAATTAAAAACTAAACTCCTTGTTTTACTACATGACTGTGATTCTATATGGCACATGCCTTTTGTGTGTGTGCAAGCAGATGAGTATGAAAGAATCATATTTAATGCGAATGAGTTGCATGTATTTATAGTATGATCGTGAACAAGTTGTTTGTGGTTGCTTCATGTTGCTGAGTAACATTTTCAACTATAACCATAAATCATTGTTTTTATTTGTAAATATAGTTTTAGCTGATTTGGAACCAGATGTTAAAGCATTGGAATCTTCAGCTTACAGTAGTATGATTCCTTTATTTCAAGCACAATGTGCTTTAGAAGAAAACTGCTTTCCTCCGAGTGTTTATAATTTGATTAACAGAAATCGACATTTAGCGTTGATGCATATGCGTCGTTTATTGCGTTTTTCTTCAATTATACACAATGTTGGAACTGATGTCTTTCGTCCACATGAACCGCCTGAACGATGGGTATGGCATGCATGCCATATGTAAGTTTGTCAAGTTAACTGTTAAAAATGCGTTTGTTCATGTTTATGTTCTATGAGGGATCGAAAGTAGTATTAAACTACCTATAAGTTTAGAAACTACAGATCAAAATGATAGATTGTGTTTAGCACTTAAATCCAGGACACACGTCTTGTGCTAATTGTGACTCATCGGCGGAATGTTTATGTACTACAGCTTCAATTAACATAGCGGAACGAGAGCCCAGTATTTGCATCCACAACTATAAAACCCGAAACCTTACATACGTACAACTTTATATCAGTTGAATGAATTCGTGACCAACTGAACCCAGTGACTCAGTGAGTAGGGCGTTGGACATTCGACGAAAAAGTTACCGGTTTCTAGACCCAGGATGAACAACAACAATGGGATAAGGACATATCTATCTGATGAATCTCAAACAGGACGAGGTAGGCGTCCCGGATTTTACTCCCAGACACAATTCATCTTTACAAAAACTTAAAAATATCCTAAATATAATAAGTATGATTTATTAAATTATAATTATTTTAATATTGATATCAATCAACTCATTCATTGCTTGTCAATCAAAACTTTATTACTTCAACTGCAATTACTCACACTCGTTAGCCATCAACAAAGTTATGAATTGAATAAAAATAGAATAGTGACAGAGCTATTTTAGAATAAATACAAATTTTCTAGCCAATAAGTATACAAATGTATTGTATAGTGAGTTACCAAATACCAATTTTATAGATGAATAATTAAAGCACGTTTGATTTTATCAGTATATGTTATTAATAAATATAAAAATGTGAAGAAAATAATATTCACTCATTCTGTTTTGCAATTACTTGTCAATTATGAAAACATAGAAAAATTGTGGGTTCTCTAGTTACCAATTTTTAAAGGTAATTCCAGGAGTTCTGGTGAGAAGTCATGATTATTGGAGTTCATAAATGTCAAGTTTGAGGTATTAAAAGGTTTACGAATTAATTAAAGCAAGATGTGTAATAAACTGGATACTGGTTCAGTCCTTTAACGGTTGAACGCCAGCAGCAAGTCCTTAACTTTCTGTATTTAATCTCTGGTTGGGTTGTGGATGTTCAGTGATAAGAAGTCCTATACTAGGATGAAATATCTATCCAGTCCTCCTTGGTTTTTAGTGGTAACCTAACTGTGGCCTGTAGGTGGCGACTACAACCTATAGATTGAACTACCCTTCACAAAATCCCTTCAACCAAAATAAAAATAAACTTACTTCAACAATATGTGACTTACCATTCTTCATCTTCTTTATCTATATATAAAATATTAGGTCTGTGAATTGAAGTAAACTTGTTGTTCATAGTGTATTTGCTTGTAGTGCTATGTTTAAACCACATAGCATATTCTAGCTTCCAGATAAGACAATCTATTCAGTCTTCTTGAGTCACGTTTTGACCATGTCAAATATTCACTTATCAACTTCGTTTTTATATGAGAGTATGTGTGTACACTTTTTATCCTATTCATCACATGTCTGTAACCTATTTTATCTGGCTATGATTATTGATCACCACTTGATTAAATGGAGTTGACTCACACGCCTTCTACACTGCGAGTGCTTTCGTTTCGCTTCGCTTTCTATTCTTCGCTTCATTCGCTGTGATTCTCTGATTGAATTTTCCGATCAACGAGTGTACAAAATATACGCATTCAAAAACCCATTCTCGTATTTGAATTATTTAATTCCGTTATTCATCAACGCGGATTAAGTCGATAATTATATACGAGGATTGACGATATGTATATTTCAATAACAACTAATTATACGATATTACTGGAGCCAGATACCGGGCAACTAAACACTTTTTTCGAGAGCTTAAGTTTAGTTTGTCTTATATCCAATGTGTGATTACAGTTTTTAACAATATTTTACATACCTCATTATGGTATGTATATTTGTTTATTCTAAAATGATTTAACGGAGAAGTTTCTTCTCTCAAAAGTTATGATTTACAATTCAACGGATGAAAAAAAGTATTACAATCATGGTTTGATTTGTGGAAAATTCCATCTATCAATGATATCAGGATTTATTTTTAAAAATGTCTGAAAAAAATGCATAAACATGATATTAAACAATATGATACAAATGTACAATCTCATTCATTCCATACTAATCCACTCCCTGATGGAAATATATTTATTTTATTTATCCACGAATGATTTATTCTCGCTAAAAGTGATGAATGATAAGAATTCGAGTTAGTTAATCCCTAGAAATTGAATAAATTTGAGTTACTCATAATTTAAAAAGTAACTTTTAGTAAATACATTCTATGTTAATTTTTCAATTTCATTTTAGTAGAATAAGAATATGAACACTAATATATAGAAAAAAGAAGTTCATTCAAAATAATTAGATCGGCCACTAAAATCTATTTGCCCCCAAATGCCCTGGTATGGCCGAGGGTGGGGAGAGTCAGCACTCTCTCAAGATGCTTTCACATGGCCACGCGTACACAGCCACTACCAGGGAAGTCTTGCACCTTGCCGGTGTTGTTTACGAAATTTAGAGGACGAAAAGCTAATGTCCGGCACTTTAACCGAGTTGGTGGACTCGAAGGGTTCACTTAGGGGGGTTGAAAAACCCTGATTCCAAACTAATGGTGCACATGGGCTCCAGTATCCTGAGAGAACAGTAGGCGTATGGACCTATTGTTGGCCACCGGCTACCATGGGACTGCATAGCCTGACGTTGCTCCCCTACCTTTAGATCGAAGACTCTGCATGTGGTCCCCTAAGGAAACCGCCCGCTTCAGTTTGGTCACTTGAGCAGTATCTTAGCTCACGCACAAATCAAGTGACTAAAAACTAAATCAAATCATTTATAAAATCAAAGCACGAACATATTTTTTTATTGTTAACTCTATAATTTAATCGAAATAGTTCAAAGTTCCACGACAAATAGGATTGAACAATTGGAAGTAAAACGGTTGTGATTAATTCAAAATAAACATTGATCGGGAATTTTATTAATTTTTACAGTTTGCTTTATTTTTTTTATTTTTTGCTATTTACTTGAGACTATTCAACTTTATATTTTAAGATGTTTGGATTTTAGTAATTTCTATAAGAACTTTCATCTAAATTTAATCGAATAGTTCCATAGTATTTGTTTGAGATCATGAACTGATTGATGTTAGACCGCCGTTGGAGACCTGGAAGCACTGGACCGCTGTTTTGTCCTATTGTGGGACTCCTCAGCAGTGTGCATCCACGATCCCGCTCGCGGGATAGGACGAAATAGCTATCCAGTGCTTCCAGGTTTCCAACGGTATTCTAACATCAATCGGTTCATGATCTCAATCAAAAACTTAATAATCTCTACAACCCCTATACTGATAGTATTTGGGCGCTGAGTTGATGTGAAACATTAAATAGAGGATGAATGTATTTGGAAAAATCTCAGCAAAACAATTTACAGGGTGAAACGTTGAATTTACTTCAAATTCATTTGTTGAGATTTTACAAATACATTCGTCCTCTTTAATTTTAGTAACTTTGTTCATATTACTTTTTTAAAACTCTCTAATGTAAAAGACAACTTTTCTAATATTAGTAAGAGATTTTTATTTTTATTTTGCAACAAAATTATTTGTACATTATTCCATAAATCATATCACTGTACTGTATTAGCGAATAATTTTAATGATTATTACCACTAAAAAAGATCATTTTTTATCAGTTTATGTAGCCTAAATGCGTGAGTAAAACGTAAATTTTCCCAAACAGAAATATTTTATATCAGAGGGGTTTAGTGGATATTATAGTAATTTTAACGGTTGAGATCATGAGTCAATTGAAGCTAGGTCACCATGGAAAACCTGGAAGCACTGGACAACCGTTTCGTCCTATTGTGGGACTGGAGTTCTAGTGGGAAGCAGTGACCAGTGGAGTTCAACCGGGTCTGTTGTAAGATAGTAACTCACTAAAGACATTGGTGTATGTGTCGCTCAATTTCGTGGATTGGTTGAAGTTAGACATTAACACCGTTGGATGCCGACCGGTTCAGTGGTCTAGTGGTTAAGCGCTCGCGCGCGAGACAGATAGTCCTTGGGTTTGAATCTCGCGGGGGGTGGGATAGTGGATACGCACTGCTGAGGAGTTCCACAATAGGACAGAACGGCCGTTCAGTGCTTCCAGGTTTTCCATGGTGATCTAGCTTCAATTGACTCATGATCTCAACCATAGACATATTTTAGTTCAATATTAATTTGTTATCAGTTTGAAGATGTAGAGATTGTTGAGTTTTATTGTGAAATCATGAACTCATCAATATTAGATTGTCATTGAAAATCTGGAAACACTGGATACTAACAACATTTTACCCATTTTCAACTAAGATAAACACATTAGTGATTAAGCATCAATGCGACTGAGTTTCACAATTATGCTAAACAGATCATAAACTATTGATATGTCTACAAAAATATATAACTGTACATTAAAGCAAACGATTTAGTAAACTATTTAAACAATATAAGCAAAGATGGATGGTGGCTAGCAGTGGACTTAAGGTAATATCGAAGAAATCCTCACAGGATGAACATATGCCAATATCAGACTGATCAATTGCAGTCTTAAACATCAATAGGAATATTCAAATAAAGAATACAAAATGAAATTTATTCAGAAATATTTTTGATTAAATAAACAAAATTGACTTCTTTCTCATGTATTTTGATTATGTTTATGTATCTCTGCTTAATTACTTTTTATTTTATGTCTTCTTTTGCCTTTTAGGCATTATCATAGTATGAAAGTATTCTCTTATTATAAAGTTATCAATGCAAAGCAACAAATTATGGCTGTTGGTCATAAAGCTAGTTTTTGTCTAGAAGATAATGCTTGTAAAAATGGATATAAAAAACATTTTGTTTGTTCAACCACACTAGTAACACGTGGGGATCAAGGTGAGTAGAGAAATGAAAATTTACGAATTCTGTATAACAAATATTAGCGGCACATTTGCATAGTTTTGACCGGATGCTTTAAAAGTTTTAATCGTATCGATTTATCTACGGTCTTTTCAAGAATTTACTCTTTCTGTCCCATTTGATTTAAAGATGTTTTCAATCAATATTACACAAACCGATTCACTAGAATCGTAGGATTTTGATGTTCTAATTAACCAGTACATTAATGAAACTACACAAATCATTATGTTTATATACTGAGTTTGGAAATTCATAATACGGTTTTTAATTGACTATAACCGCTTTGAAATTACACTACAAGTGGTTTACCATCTCAACATACAGAAATATACGGCCAAGAAATTTTATATTCAACCACTACTAACCTACTGTACAGATTATGAAAAAAAAAATATTTGGAAAGTACCGTATAAAATTTTCAGTCTTGCGAAATAGAAAGGATATTTCCTAACATAATTATATTGCTTTGAGAAAGATTGAGGACTAAAAAGCAAAGGACAATCATTTTATTGTATATAATACTGTATAACAGTTACCTTATACAGGATTCCAGTATTACCATGGTTCTATTGAAAAATTGTTATCGATAAATAAGTAATAAATTTGATTAATAATCTACTTATCTTTATCTAATAACTAAGTTATTTTGTTTAATAATTTAACTAAACGACCTTTAGTTGATTAATACAACAATGTTTTTTAGAAAAATAACCCACTTTGTTAGATACACTTTAAACTGTACTGAATATTTTTGTTTAATATGATAATTCACACTTAACTATAAACGGACAGGTAACTTCAAATAAGATAATAAACCACATTTTAATCAATTAATAAATATTATATTCTCATATTATATAGTTGAAAGAAAGAAAAAAACGACAACATTAGAATCAACAATGAAATCATCCTATAAACGATAGACTACAAAAGTTAAAAACAATCAAAATCTACCTTCAACATTTAACACTGAAATAATCTACTTAAAGAAAGACTAGATTTAATCATGTTGATTAAATTAACTTATTCGAATAAAACTATGGAATATTTTTTTCGGCTTATAATTTGAATGTCAACAAATGAAACAATCGATTAGGTATTTTTTCTACCACTAAAATGAATTTTTATTTTATTTTTTCCTTAAACATTTAATTATTTCCAGAGAAGGGTTTTTCGTGGATATTATAGTAGTTTAATAGTTGAGATAATGAGTCAATTGAAGCTGGATCACCATGGTAAATCTGGTAGCACTGGACGGCCGTTTCGTCCTACTATGTGACTCTTCAGCATTGCACATCCACGATCCCGCCGTCCAGTGCTTCCATGAATAAATTTAACTGACATTCTATCAACTGCAAGTTAAAAATTCTCATTACATTATGTACATTTTAAGTGTGTGTACTGGCTATAGCAATAGAGTAATATACAAGTTTAAAACGTGGAACTTTGTCAAATCATACGTCAGTCTACAGTAAACTAAAGGATCAGAGTGGGTCGTTCATTGGTTACCTCACCCACTAATACTAGAAGAATAAAGAACAATTATCACAATATTAGTGCAATCTGATCACTTAGAAGTAACTTTCAAAGTCGAGTTAGATTCACTTATATCTATGTTAGACGATCATATATGAATACATTAGTCGTTTTATTTTGCCCTGAGATTGAAAGTCATGCCTTTTCATATACATTATATCTTTGGTAATTTCCGCCAATACAAATCAACTATGACTTACAAAATAAGTTCACTTTACATTGAAAAGTCTAAATTTACAACAAGTAATAGAATTTCTAAAAAATTGACTTACATGTATTAATTAATAACTCTGAAGTGAAATTAGTAACTTAAGGAAACGAAGTACATCATTTTTGCCTAAGATTAGATTGACCAACAAATATACTGTTACTTTAGTCATTTCAAGCTATCACGAGTCTTGATCTTACAATTATCGTTGTACATTAATGCCTCAACCTGTTTTCATAAGTTGTGACAATATAATGAATCTTATTGGTTGATTTGAAAACCAAAAACTTGACTTACTGAATTAGTACGCAGCTGCCTAGATCCACAAATATGAGCACATAAGACAATGATCTGACCATTTCAATTATACTGTTTGGACTAGAGGGTTTCTAACCTACCTTAGATTTCATTTAACCGTGTAATACTTTCGACATCTACACACGTCATATAGTTTCCTTTCAATTCGATTATTTATACCATTTTATTCTTCGTACCTTTGAAAATAGATACTAAATAACAAGAGGAATGCAACTTGTTAACTTATCATTTCTAACTGGTTATAATAAGGCCAAGTCAATAGAACAGTCTCGAACTTCTGTTAGCTATTAGACTGTTCAAAATATTCGTTAATAAAATAATCCAGATTTTTTTTACTTTTGACTAACAGACAGGGTTTAGCACCGTTTCTATAGTAAAATCTATTATAAGACTTGTTCAGATTGTGTTATTCTACCAGAATTCACCATACTCTAAATCCAGCAGTAAAATGTAGTAAGCTTGATGAGCCCTGGTTGGTGTAGTTATTTTTCTCCAGCGTTTCTTGATATGAATCAACATCACCATTAACCTACAGAATCTCTTGCTCGCAAATAACTATGTAGGAAGTCAGTGGAAGTTATCCGACCTTGATGTGATAGGTTGTGCACTATCGTGAACTGACTGTAGCTAAAAGATATAAGAAATTGAATTTCATCTCACTGATTCAATGGTATCGTGCTGAAGGTCATGGTTTGACCCATCCGGGATAGGTGTGAACAAACGAGGATTAGCAAACTGATAAATAACCATAAAAGACGAGCTGGTTTTGAATGGTTCGCTCATTGATGTTAATCTTTTTAACAAATGACATCAATTACACAAACACTGGAAAATACAAATTAATCACTCTATGCCATCGTTCTGGCATTGTAATGTAGCAACTTGGGGTAACATACATTTGTCCCAAGCTGTGTTGATCCCAACCGACTGGATATTTCTTGACTGTGATCTCATGATATTGGTCTCTTAAATTAACATAACCACCTTTAAGCTATCTCGTCAATCACCACAATTGCGCAGTATTAAATTGTAATATCAAATCCATTTTAATTGAATCCTTGACTTCGCGACTTTTAATATTTATAATAACATAAATCCCTCACTCAATATTTTTATTGCTATACTATACAAGGTATTAGTCCTGGATGCCAAGATAATTATTTCCACGATTATGATTGTCAATGGTTAGATATTACCGATCTAATTCCAGGTGAATATACATTTCAATTGATTTTAAATCCAGACTTCTTAGTACCCGAAATTACTTACAAGAACAATGCCATAGAATGTCGTCTATCTATAGGACATACAAATCATCATTATGCCGCATTATCAAAGTGCCATTTGGTACATCCGTATGATCTGTGAAAATTCACAATTGCACACGGTCACATACATAAACATATCAGTTTTACTTTGAAAAAAACATCATATAAATTAGATACATTTATTATCCTGTAATCACATTATAATATTGATTCACATGCATCATTGGTTATGCACCATGGACATTTATATTATCAGTAGAAAATTAATAAAATTATATCAAGTGCTATATTTCACTATTTTCAACTAAATATATTCGGGATAGATATAAAATTTATGTGCAACATGTCTTCCATTGATATAACTTGACTTTAAAAACCAACTGAATTTCAAAACGTCATCAACTTAAACTACTACTTAACAGACAAAGTTCAAACAAATTCTTATGTAAAAACATAAACTATATACAATTTACGGCTACTTTAGAGTGAAAATCCTCGCGATTATCGGTCTATAAATATAACCATTTTTATGATATACTAAATCATTATTATATTATATATTATTCTGCTTGAATAGATGACTCGGTTATTACCTTCCTTCTACTCCATTGTCTCACATGAAGAAAAACCTCACTGTTACAAAACGTGAATCCTACATAAGTAAACAATTTTCTCACCTGAAAAATTAACTTAAACCAACGCATATGCTTTTAAGCACTATTCATATGGAGACTTCAAGACATCCCTAGAAACTGTTTTTATTTTATATGCAAATTATATATTCTAGTCATCTTATTTGCTATACTCCACCAGTAGCTCTTCTAGGATTATTGCCGGTCTCAAGCCCGGATAAAAAAGGAGGGTTGGACGTGGAGTCAACAACCCCATCGCGTAAAAAACAAACTTGCTAAAAACACTAACCAGAATAAACAAATTAAACTCTGCCTTGGGAGTTGAAGGATGAATTATGACGCCTCGTGATGAATACCGAGATTGTTCGGAAGTCACGAGGTATATCCCCTTTCTAACAACTAGAGCAATAATTTTTATAGGTACATGGACTGTCTGGACAATGTGAGAGACCAGGAGGACTAATCAAGTAGATAAAGAAATGAGATACAACTTCGCGGTTTTCGGAATCAGCGAAACCCATTGGACCCAAGCTGGACAGAAAAGATTAGATTCAGGAGGGATGCTGCTGTAATACGATCACAAAGCGGAAGATGCTCTACACACTCAGGGAGTTGATCTGATGCTGTCTTAAGATGCACGAAGTACTATAATAGGATAGGAATCTCATGGATCCAGGATCATCAAAGTGCCATTCGGAAAAAAGAAAGAGGGTATTACAATGAACGTTATGCACCAACGATAGCAATGATGACGATAAAGATCTGTTCTACGAGAGGCTACAAACGGTCATAGTGAAGTGCCCATGAAAGGACCTGATAATCCTGATGGAAAATGTAAACGGTAAAATCGGAATGGACAACGGTTATGAAGATATATAGAATTAAGTCTGTTTTGTTATTAATACTATTATAACAATAGAAGAACAAGTGCAGACAGACTGGAAAGAAGGATATCTCATCAACATTCCAAAAAAAGATCTGAGCAAATGTGATAACTATATGGGCATCACACTACTATCGGTACCAGGAAACGTTTTTAACAGTGTTGTTGGACCGGATGAAGGATTCAATATACGCCCAACTTCGAGATCAACAGGCTGAATTCCGTAAGAATCGGTCGTATGCAGCTCCAATTGCGACACTACGGATCATCAATATTGAATCCTGGTATTACACAAAATATGTCAATGTCCTGAAATACAGTTAAAAACTGCAATTAAAATAGTCAAAGTATCTGTGAGCACACTAATTATACAATACAATTGAGGACAGGTAAGTTAAAACATATAGTAATTTAAGTTTGGCAATTTTGTGCTACTAGTATCGGATATAATAAGTAACCAATTAAAACGTAAGGTTATTATAGGCAGTTATGAAGAGCAACGTACGGATCACAATTCATAAATGATTAAAAGGCATTGATGAATACAGAGTATATAATAATGATATTTTATTTAAATACCAAGTAAAATAAACACTCGAAAACAATATTTAGACTTAAAATAACACGATAGTTAATAAATACTGCGGAGAAATATAGATCTAGATAAAATGTGAGAAAAATTGATAAAGATAGACATTTTAGGCAAGATGAACTTAGTTATCATTTTATGATTATTATTTACACTGAATAGAAGTTATAGAAGAGTTAGTTTTGACTTAATTTTCCTCAACATCGGATTGTATCGATTTCGCTGTGATATTTACACTTGATGACGAACTGAACGGTAAAGACTGTGAGGCAGCAGCCAGCTGAACTCTACTTAAGGGCAATAAAGGAGGATGATCAGTACCCGTACCCATTAGACCACCATACTTATTGTAAAAAGACCTATAAAAAAAGATTCAACTAGAGAATAAATAAATAATTATCTTATACACAATAGATATACTTTGTGTAAAAATTAAAAAATATAGACTTTGAAATAAATAATTATATTGCAAGATTATAGCAGCTTACATGGTCAAATTTATTTATTTCCTGACTTTCTACAGTAACGTTTTTCAATGTTAAACCAATTAAAAATGATTTTCCGAAAAATTTAACAAATCATTATATACATATTTTTGCACAATGTATGTTTTGAAATGATTTAGTTCTTCATCCCTGTTCCCATATAACACCATTTTTAAAAAATGGATAAATTAATGTTCCCATAAACACGTTTAGAACTGATTCACTGAATTTTTCTAAGTTGATAGTTCAAAATCTAACATATCATGATCTCGAGATGATAGAAGATGTATAATCATATTTTTAAGAAAAATGGAGTATGATCCCGTTATAGCATGAGAGCATTAAAACGTTATTCTCATACGCTAAATTTAAGATGTATCCTCAGTGGTTTTCCTCTATATTTGTGCCAGTAGAATAATCTAACCTCAGTAACTATTTAGAATAGCTTACTTACCCCTGTAATAATGGTTGCTTTTCCGTTGAAACTCTTGAAGAAGACGGATTAGATGGACGACAATAATCAACGGGCACAGGGTAGTTCACGGAACCTTCCGAATCTATTTTATTGTATACCTTGGGAGATGAAAGCAAATTATACAAACTGGATGCAGAATTTGCATTGGATGATAAACTTGGGACAGGAAACATTCGAGGTACATAACATGAAGCTTGGGAACTTGGTCTAATCTCTCCCAATAATGAAAGGCTATTGCTAGGGGTGTGTGCATTAGTATTTGTGTATGGATGTTTTGAGCTTGATGTATGGTAATTTTGAGCTTCAGATAATTCACGTGCATCTTGTAAACGAATCAAACATAACGCTAATGAGCCAAAGCATATACTGCTAACAAACCATATTACGACAACAATAACATCTGAAGACAAAATTTATGAATTTTTAACAAACAATTAGGAAATAATCGTTACTACACTAATCATCATTAATACCAGTATAATCCTTAGTACTACTATTATTGAGGCTAAATAATGATTGTATAAATAGGTTATTTGTAAACCAGTTTTAAAATTCATTCACACTACAAAAGACTTCTCAGTCCACGACATAAACTTGACCTTTGTAGAGTTTATATCGCCAACGATCTATGTAGTGAGTCTTATGTTAATATTTTTACAGTATACTTATAATAAGGAACATTCCCGATTACGTGGAACTGAGGTGAATGGATCCATTAATCTATCATTTAGATAACATAAAAACTACTTTACCTACATTGGTTTGAGTTGTGGTATGATGTCATCATGAGCGGTCACTAACTAGTATTATTTAAGACGAATTACTCATAAAAGTTATTTAAGAATGACGACAAGAAAAAGTTTCTCACTTATGCAAAAAATAAATATGGTCATATATTCAGCAGAAACAATAAATAATCAACTATAATTAAAATCAATCCAAATATACAAAAGTTTCAGTTATGAGGCTGAGAAATGGATCCAAATAAAGAAAAACTATTCCGCAAATTTAACTAACCTTTTAAAATTACGGACAGAAACTTATGCAAAAGATACAATGGAAACGGCTATAAACCAATAGAATCATGCAACTTCAGTTAACAATTCATATCATTTTGAAAATTCGTCAGTGTAAAGACTACGCTTCAAAGAACAAAACTAATCTTAAACAAACTTGATCTGATTAAAGTAGAAAATGTACAGAAATGAACATGGAAGTATGAAAATAAATATTTAAAAATTACCATATTGACCATAGAATTGGATGCGTAGAGTACGTAGTCTTATATCAAAACAGGTTAACATCAAGAAATATTCAATTACAATGTGAGGTAATAAACAGCTTGGTATGAGAAAAAAACTTGCACAGCATAGTGTAACGTAAAAACCAAGAAGAGCAGTTGAAATACCGAATGCCTGAAAATTAAGAAAAATTTAGTATACACATTTGGATTGATCTTAAAAATACCGTTGAGATAACAGGCAATGACGTATATTCTTAAAATCAAAACCTACATATTCCGTTTTGAAAGAACATATTTGAAACACTACAACAAAAAGCACAACTGAAACAAATATTTGAAGGAACAGTGTATTTACTACGTATAAATGTTTATACAATTATCCAGAGAATCATGTTTATTATTGCTCAGTGGAATGATACTACCTAAAACGAATCATGTGGTGAGAGTTCAAAATAATGACCATCTGTAAATCAAAAACCAAGTTTCAAGAGTACCAAGACAAACAATCACCTCCCTGAAAAAGCGACCTTTTAAGCGCCTATGTAAATTTGAAGTAAAACATTAACCTAAATTGCAAATTTGATAGTGTTTTTTAATTATTTATTTGAACACATAAATATTGGTACAAGAGAGCGCCAATATATATGCGCCACACTATACCTTCGACTAAAATACCAACCTGTAGACAATAAAACTGAGTGAGTCAGTTTTCGGAGATCCTATTTGTGAATAAGATAAATGATTCTATACAAAAATCTTGCATATGTAAAAACAAATACACTTACTATCTATTATAATATACGGATATTATAGAAAGATGTTTGAAATGTTTCATAAAACTCACAAAAAAGAAGTTTTAACGCAATAAATACAGAAGTGTTATAATCAAGTGATACATCGATTAAGTTAAAACTGTTTATAATTTCAGCTTACAATTATTAAAATTCGAAATGTAGCAACTAGAGAGTGTAGTTGTGTACTTTATCTGTGAAAAAAATAACCAACGTAAATTATACTCTAATGACAACGAAGTGAATTAATAAGAACTTAGTATTTTCAAATTATTCTCATTCTAGTGGACTTCTTTAGAAAGTTAAGTTCAACTCATTTACAAGGTACTTGCTTGGGTGTGAGGGCTAATGATACTACTCGGTTCCCGAAACCGAAGTAGGTGGGGTGGGGCTTGAACCTAGAAAATCGAATGGCCTAATTACTAATTCACCACTCAATGCGCAATGAGTACGTCAGTTATGTAAAAGGCAGCCGATGAAACTGATCGTTAAAATTGTTTTTTAAGACTAGCCTTTATAGCACTAACCAATAAAGTGAATATTATTGAAAAAAACTGAGGGAGATCTCTATGAAAAGGTGTGAATAAAGATCTACTTCGTCGTTTTTCTTTTTCTTAAGGATTTTTACGCAACACGATATTTGAGCAACTGTAATGTTAAAATTTAAGAAAAAAACATTATTACACTAATATATGTAATAAGAAATCCTAACACCTGTTAATACTGTTTGTTTCACACTAAAAAAAGAACATTTTATGATTACCTTTGAATAACATTTTATAAACTAAATTTCTGTACTTTTGTCCAACTCTCTTTACCTTTCATTTCCCCTGCCATTGAGGCTGATATCTTGTGATCCTACCGCTTATGCTTGGAGTATTATTTTAATGTTCCATTTTCACGCACATAGTAAGTACATTTAGGCATAACTGGAGGACTATGTCGTCCTCATTGTGGACCAATTAAATTTTCTAGTTAATGATATGTCTTTTGTCTTTACTATTAACTGAGGTTATATGCAGAAGACAGAGGTATCACGATCTCAGTATCAGTGATTAATTACTAGAGATGTATTATTTATCTATCATTCCTTAACCTACACATTATTTATTACACAAGTCTATCAAGTTTTCTAAATAATTTATAATTGAACTAGGAAATAACTTACAAAATTTTTGAATATACTCAGCAAGCCAAGCAGTAATCCTGACATTATTGTACAGAACGCAAAAAAAGAAACCGAAGATTTGTCCAATTTTAGAGAACGATCTGAAGAAAAAGAGTAATTGCATATATATGAGTATTGCAGTTGAAATATCGATAATTACAACTCACTTAAGTACATAAAATATGAATCAAATCAAATGGAGTCACCGCGAGACGGTATTGACAGGTGATTAACAGTTTTAAGTAGATTTTGTGCACACGCAATAGGGGAAACAATCGGTGCTGTGTTGATGAATCTCCATAATAATAGTGTCAACGGTATAATCCTGTCTCCAGGAAAACTACAATTTCCTTATTTTTTTACGCGGTATTACGTGTTTCGTAAATCTACTTTATCCCCTTTCTAACCCCTGTACAAACAAATAATTGGTAGTTGATATATTGTAGACTATAACATCACTTTAGTGTGGATGCTGTCTTCAGACCACTTTGCTGCTTATGGATATCCTGCAGAGACCTGAGTGCATCAAATACATGTTCATTATTGCAATTGACAATCTCATTATTGGTTAAAGATAAGGGTGGGAAATGTTATATGGCGTTGTCTTCATTCACTATCGATCTTTTAGAAATGTTTTATCGGCGAGATTATAATTTATGGACGAACCAATCAGATTTACGATAACAGGTCTTAGATTTTGGCGCGAAGTTCATTCACCCATTTGCCTAAATAGAGACTTAGTATTATAGCTTATGTCAGTTCGTGATGAAAACCCTAAATCGAATTCTTAACCCTAACCATCAACCGTAAATCATAATCCTTATTCTTTAAACTGCTTCATAACCCTCATTTAGCCCTAGTAAGTGGGTAGACACCCTCAAGGTCATTTTAGCGTCGCTCATAGGCCGGCCAAAAATTATAGTATTACCGTTTCATCTTTTAACAAGCCACAAATCACGCTCACACTGTTGGGACGATACTGTGATGGTTCGAAGTATTCGAATTACAGTACGAACTAGGAATAGCAGAAATAATTCAATTTAGCCAAGAAGTACTAGATGAACACGAACGAACGTATTGTATTTGGAATAGGAAATCCGGCAGTTATCAAGTGAAAAAGAATCACCAGTTCATACAAACACCACAGATACGACTTACTATTTCTTCCTAGGATAACGGTGCAATAGTTGTTAATCTCTGTATCTTATATAGGTATTATATTTCCTCAACCGCATGGTGAACAATTTCTGTGTGTTTGCCTACACACGACTTTCTCTTAATTCCCAACGTAACATAAATAGTCCCAACTTATCTTAAAAAATTTTTATCTTTAATCTTGTAAGTCTTTCATATTTATGTAAACCCTACCACCTTTATTGGAAACATCACTAACTAAAGATACTCAGCCAAGTGTCTACACTAGATCACATTTGGTCGCGCGGTACAGAGCAACTCTTACGATAATTAATCGGGTTAGGTGAGATACACAACAATACATCGATCTTTTTTCAATACTACGTTCTGATCCTTTCGAGTTTAGTTGATTTTAGATTCGTAGTATAAGAAACTTTGGACTGATCCAGTTACGATATCTATTATACTTTACGCAATATTAGATGATGTACAACTCTTCCACTTCAAAAGTAGTCACAGTAGTGACTGTAATACTCAGACCTTCAACACTTGACCAGAAACCATGAATTGTGGCACTTTTGGAAATGCTATTAATTTAGAGGACCTTTGTTACGAAAACTGTGGTTCATAATGCCGTATCACTTCTAAAATATGTTCATGAGGCAATCTTGTATTTTTGAACATTTCAACAGTTTTCTTTCTAGATTATGCAGCTCATATTGTATCCAAACTTAGAATATTTGAATCATTAGAGAACACAGTCAATCATTTATTAAGAAAAGATGTTCCAAACAAACAGAAAATGTTTATCCACACATAGCGGGACGACCCAAACAGATCAGGGAGAAACAATCCAGTAGTAGTCAAACTGAGGTCGGAGAAACATTATATCATACAAAAAAACAAATTAAATACCGATTCAGAATATATTGATGGATAAAAAAAGAAACAGAAGTAAGCAAGATACATGAGAATGAAAAGAGTAAATTAATACCTTGGGCGAATAAAGAATTTACGATAAATATAATGCACACAAGAGGGATTTTCACTCATAGATAAAGGATGTTGAAAATTATTAAAACGAAAAGGCATCAAACTAGCGCAGCAGATAACAAAAGTACAAACATTAGATTATACTGGAAGTTTAGTGCTAAATCAACCAGAAGTAATCAACTGAGCATGCAACCTGAATAGGCAGCCACGAATCATGGGCTACTAATTAGCTTAGCGGATAAGAAGTTGGCGATCAAAGCGTACAATAAGATCTAGCCCCAGTGTAAATACAAATAGGAAGCAGGTACATAGAGCCGACGCGATTCAAATAGGATGAACCAGGTGCCTTGGGTCTTCTAGGTCACCACAATCCAAATGTCTTTAAAAAGTAGTAGTCTTTTCAACGTACGCACCTTGTGTCAAGCGGTCAGCAGGTCTCCTTGGATAACGCCCTAAAATCTAGTACCATTGGTGAATGCTGTGTCTTCGAAACACACATACAGGCCCCTAGTGTGGTCATACACTAGACCTCACCTTGCCAAAACGGAGAGCCGACGAGATACACCCTCCGTTTATCTGGCGACCGATGGCTAGTTCGCGTAGACGATGGCAGAACAAACACTGTTAGAATGGATCCCTATCAACAGTCGTCTATGTGCTGTTCGACTAAACGGCTCCATTAAAACTTCAAAGGATAGTGACACACGTCGTTGCCCTTTCGTCGTTTCTGCCTACGCTCCCACTGACTGCAGCCCGGATGATGTTAAAGATGACTTTTACAGAAAGCTTTCTGAACTTCTTCAGAAAGCTAAACGCTCAGACATAGTACTCATAGCAGGTGACTATTCCGGCTCAGCGAACAGATAATGGTGATCGTCTGCTGCAACTTTGCTCAGACAATCGTTTATTTTTAGCAAACACTAATTTCAAGCCTAAGGAGAGACATCATCTAACATGGCGATTCCCGGAACCAAACTAACGATGGACTCAAATAGACCATATTGGCATCAGTCATCGTTGGAGAGGGTCGATAGAAGATTTTCTCTCATTCTAAAAAACCACTTTAGACTCTGGTCGTCATCTAATACGAGCACGCATTAGCTTGCGCCTCATTGGACGTAGAAAAACCACACTAAGAAGACCCATTAAAATTGAATTGAGTAGCAAAAAAGCAGAAAGTAGATTCCAGGAACAACTGAGGTCACAAATAGGTAGTTCTGAAAACGAGGCTGACCCAGATGTTGCTTGGAAAGATATACAAACAGCCGTAAAAACAGCAGTGGTGTCCGACAAGGCTGTTCAATATCTCCATTTTTGTTTAATTCCATCATAAGCCTACTGCTGGAAATAACGTTCTCGTCGACTGAATTTTCGGGCATTGATCTTCTACTAGGAGGTCCACTTATCGACTTAGAATACGCAGATGATATAGTCCTGTTTGGTGAAGACGCTGACAAAATGCAGTCTTTTGGTAGCACCGAGCAACAATTCCAGGATGTTTGGGATGCGTTTCTCTCCTTCTAAATGCAAATTGTTGCTACAGGACTGGTCTGCGTCAACACCTAAACTAAGGATAGGAAGTGAAGTAGTCGAACGCGTCGACAACTTCACTTATCTTGGAAGTCTGATCAGCCCTAATGGGTTGGTGTCTGACGAAATCTCAGCACGGATTCGAAAAGCTCGGTTGGCGTTTGACAACTTATGTCACCTATGGCGATGGCAAGATACCCGGCTATCAATTAAGGGACGAGTTTCCTGCGCAGCAGTTCGTTTTATTCTATTTTACGGCTGCGAAACGTGGCCATTAATAGTGGAAGATACTTGTAAGCTACTAGTGTTTGATCACCGATGTCTTAGAAATATTGCTCGCACCTGCTGGGATCACTGGGTAATTAATAGTGAGGTTAGACGCAGGGTATTAGGGAATGATGGTAAATCAGTTGATGAGGTTGTGAATCTTTATCGACTGAGATGATTGGGACACGTGTTACGTATGCCTGAACAACGATTACCACGACGCACAATGTCGACTAGTGTTGGGGATGGTTGGAAGAAAGTTAGGGGCAGACAAACCAAAACATAGCGTCAGTCCTTGAATTCACTAACTCCTAGTCTGAGTCATGTTGGTAGATACAGACTACTTGGGGTCCGCGCGGCTATTATATGCGTGGCCATGTAAGAGCATTTCGGGAGAGAGTGCTGACTCTCCCCACTCTCTGACGTACCAGGGCATTTGGGGGCAATCCCGGATAACTAAAGCAACCTAGTAACTCATTACATATTTGTGTACATAGACATGAGCCATAAATTTTTATCCATGGAATAGTTTAACTACGCGGATGACCAACATGAACTAATCAACCTTACTTAAGTGTTAACGATGTATTACCCAAACAAACAAATACCTTGAAATTCCTTTTTTACTCCGAAAATTTCAGTAATTAAATTAATATCATACACATATACATATATGGTAAAATAGACAATAGATAAAGTTCTGTTGATTTTAAATACTTATCTTATAGAAAAATAAGTGACAGAATAAATTTACTAGTAAAATTTTCAAAACGTACCAAGAGAGATGGAGAGATAACCGATTAGAATAAATACAGTCGGCAAAACGGGAAGTAAACGAGCAAAGCGACGAGGTCTTAGGGTGAAGGGTTTAAGTGGACGTGCCAAGGTTTTTGAAGATTTTTTTGAACTTCTGGACCTTCGACACAGCTGAATGCCATAAATTTGAACACAAGTGTAACCTTCATTATCATCACTAGCACCCTGTTCATTTGAAACATATGCACCAGAATGAGCTGGGGAAGGTTGATGCACTAGATCGTTACACAGCTGTAATGCTGAAATACTGGACTCCTCTTCACTAACTGGAGCCAAAACATTAACAGTATTAATTGGTGTATGTTCAGTCTGTGACGACGATCCGAAAGGGGCATCAACATTTTGATAGCTGTTATCTAACACATCTGAATTCCACGGTTCGTTAACAAGAACAGTTGTAGAATTTTCTACCTTCACCAGTGGACCTTGTCCAAACATACGTTGGTAGTACAAAGTAGGACGAACGTAACGCCACCACAGTATTACAAACACGAACAATGCAAAGAAAGCTGGCAAAAAAGCACTCGCTATTAAAATAAGGTAAGCTATAAATAGAATGATCAAAAAGGAAAAATATTTCAATAGCATGGGATAATTCGTGAAAATTGCAGAATTTTTATGGGCTGACATTGAAAACCTGGAAGTACTAGACAGTCGTTTCATGCTAGTGTAAGACTTCTCAGCAGGGCGCATACGGTAACTAAACCAAGGACCTTCGGTTCCTTGTACGAACGTTTAACTTCTAAACCACTGAGCTGGCATCTGACAGTGTTGATGTTTAACTTCGATCAACTCAGGATATTACGCAAACACTATCCAATGCTCGCAATGAATAGCTATCTCATACCCGACACGGTTCGCGATTCAAACTATGAAAATATATTTTAATCCGAAATTAATTGACTAGAAAATAATGCACAATAAAAACCAATAATGTGTAAACTGTGATACAATGCTTGAAGATTTAGCCCAGCAGTTAAGTTTTCATCGATTGAACAATGAGTGTCCTACAAGCTAATTCCCTCAAAGACATTTTAGCATGTTTATATTGTGTTTATATTCTGCATAGAAACACTTCAACTGGTTACAGAATAAAACCTACTATTTTGGCTCAGTGGACTTGTCTTTGATTTCAAATTATTTGAGGCCCAAAGTCAATAAAATAGTTTAGTGAGCAACCATAACCATATCATGATATTGTGTCCATTTATTGACCAACATTATATTCATTGATTTTAACAATCAAAAAATTCGCTCATCAAATAATCAACCTCCATACTAAACTGGGACTGTGATCAACATATTCAACTCAACTGTTGGTTTTCGTAAATACGTTTTTGTAGACAATTAATCCATTATTGGCATTCATGATTTTTTATCACTTTAGCATTACTTATTATGGATATAAGGAATAAGTTACTGATAGATTATAAATAGCTAACCGACTGACCAAGAAATGGAGCCACCTTAAGGGAATATTAAAGACTGGTTCAGTAAGTAATTAAATGTAGATTGACTGAGGCTTGTAAAAGTGGTAAGAGTTGGTTGGGTATAACTGATAAACTACAGCAACAACAAAGACACGTTCACTTGTTGTTTTCTTTAACTATTACACTTTTTCTCATATCCCAAAATTTTCTTATTTATCTTTCTGAACTATTTTTGATTATCTATCAACATCTTTTTGAAACGTGATGACTACAAACGAGACAATTGTGTTGAACATTACCTACTTCACGCGATCAATAAGACAAAAGTTCATAGATAATAATGAATGAAACGAAGTTATAGGCCAGTCGTTTAAAAAGACTTTCTGATAGTGCGTATTAGGCTGCTATGATCGTACTGTGAGTTAGCAGTAGGTTGAAGGTTTGAATCCTACTCTAGCTACTTTGTTTGGACAGCCAGGTAGCACTAATAATCTGTTCACATAATGTCGATTAAGGCTGAATACACAAGCCAGAATATGATAAACGGGTTGCATCAAATTAGTGACATAGAAAAATCAATATTTATACAGAAAAAACTGCTAGCCCTTAGTAAGAGTCAAATACAAAGTTATTGAGGCGTACAATATACATTAGAGCGACAAGTACCAAGTGTTAATGTTTATGAATTCATTATTAACGCCTACAAGACTTGATGCCTTATATCTATAGGTATGTGATGGATTTTTGGAGGCACTTTAGTTTCGTATCAGTGCTTAAAAACAGGTGCAAAATAATGAGTACTGCTTATACTTCTCTAAATATACTTGGGAAAATCGGTAGAAACTATAAAGTTACTGCTCATCCAACCTACATTCAATAGTTGGGACATATTTTACATGCCAACAGCTTGATATTAGAACTGGTGAAATAAGATTATTTGTATCTAATGAATCAGTCATCATTAACGTAGAGCCGTTGGTTCAAGAGATGATAGTCTTTTATCGAGCCAAGCATAACCCGCTGTCAAAGCATAATTGTGGCAGATGGTCAACGTCATTTGTCCATTAGTTCGGGACACCATAAGACCAACTTAACTTTTTTTTTCATTTTGACTTATCCTACCACCTTGAACGCTATGCCCACTTGCTACAACTAACCCATTTGAGGCCCTGACTTTTTGAAGATCGTTAAGTTTCCCGACCGTTGTTGCTACCTTGACGTGGTGGTCGGGTTTGCCTATTGTGATGAAGCAACCGAGCTATACTGGCTAGAACAACCGTTCCTCAAGGTCCTACCATGTCAGACAGGTCGGTTGAAGAGCGGTAAGACTAAAAGCAACAAACCCAAGGTCCGAAGGCGAAGTCGTACTGCTGACTGTACAGAGGTGTGACAGCAGTAAGGTGTTTCCTTCAGGCAACCAGCATGACAGTGATGCTGCCTTCCCACAAGGAGGGGTGGGGTTAGAAAAGGTCGACCCTAAAAATGCACACCTCACCTTACCTCACGGATTTCCGTCTCCGGCGGTAAGGCCCTTTGAAGAACGGAGCTAACACGTCGAAAACCTTCCACGAAAAGGCCGCGCGCGACCGGCCTCAAGCAGTTGTCCCTTGGGCACTGCGGTCACGCTCTCAGGTCACTGAGACCACCTCTAATCCAATTTCCTTTTCAGGTACCTCCAGAAGAACCCTTCCACGGTGTGGGCAACCGGGAAGTGATAACCGCCCTCATACCTCTAACAGCACCCAAGACCACTGTATTCATAATCAACCTTCCTCTTCAATTCCTATTATTCCTCCTACATCGACTTTCAACCCTAAACTTCCTCCTTCGGCTTCCTCCTCAAATGTCACCATAGCCAACGATTCTAGTGCTCAAAACTCTGTCCCAGGTCTACTGAAACCTCGCTCCAAACTACACATTGGAGCTTTCAACGTACGAACACTACGTCAAATCTGTCAGCAGGCTTCCTTGGCTAAAACCCTAGAGTCTCTTACCATTGATGTATGCTGTGTCTCTGAAACACGCATACAGGATCCCAGTGTGGTCATTCACTTGACCTCACCTCGGCAACACGGAGAGCCAACGAGATACACCCTCAGTGTATCTGGTGACGCGATGGCCAGCTCTCGTGGACTGGCAGGTGTAGACATAGCACTAAGCATGAGGGCCGAACAAGCACTGCTAGAGTGGATCCCCGTCAACAGTCGTTTATGTGCTGTTCGGCTGAACGGCTACGTAAGAACTCGGAAGGATAGGGACACACGTCGTTGCCTTTTTGTCGTTTCTGTCTACGCTCCCACTGACTGCAGCTCAGATGAAGTGAAAGATGAATTTTACAGAAAGCTGTCCGAACTTCTGCAGAAAGCTAAACGCTCAGACATAGTACTCGTAGCAGGTGATTTTAATGCTCAGATAGGTAGCTTAAACCAAACAGAAAGGCATTTAGGTGGATATTTTAGTATTCCGACACAGCGAACAGATAATGGTGATCGTCTGCTGCAGCTATGCTCAGACAATCGTTTATTTTTAGCAAACAAATTTTAAGCATAAGGAGAGACATCGTCTAACATGGCGACCCCCTACACCAAACCAACGATGGACTCAAATAGACCATATTGTCATCAGTCATCGTTGGAGAGGGTCGGTACAAGATTGTCGCTCATTCTGGAGTACCTGCTTGGACTCCGACCACGCCCTAATACGGGCACGCATCTGCTTGCGCCTCACTGGACGCAAAAAAGCCACAGTAAAAAGACCCATTAGAACCTAACTGAGTAGCGAGGAAACCAAAAGTAGGTTCCAGGAACAACTGACGTCACACTTAGGTAGTTCTAAAGACGAGGCTGATCCAGATGTTGCTTGGAAAGCTATACAAACAGCTGTGGAAACAGCAGTGACATCTATTAGTGACTTAAACCACAGAGTTACAAAGAACCAGTAGATTTCTTCAAGGTCTATCACATTGATGGATTCTCGTAAACTCGTCCCATCAGGTTCTGAACATGATGAAAAGCGAAAACAAATCAGATCTAGGTTAAGAAAAAGTCTAAGGAACGACCGTGAGCAGTGGTGGGTAACGAAAGCAAAAGAGATGGAAAAGGCGGCGACTATAGGGAACACAAGACAGCTTTACAGACTAATAAAGGAAACTGGAATTAATAAGTCAAGTGTAAGTGAGATTATTTCGGAAAAAGATGATACTCTCATCTGCTCCCAGTCCAGACGTTTAGAACGATGGGCGGAACATTTCAGAGAACAGTTCAGCTGGCCTTCAGCTACTCTACAACTACCCTCCATTCCCAGACAATGTGAATGGAACATTGAAGTAGGTCCCCCAACTCTTGCTGAAGTTCAAAAGGCTATAGTTAATCTGAAGCGAGGAAAGGCAGCTGGTCCAGATGGATTGGCTCCAGAGGTCTTTAAGGATGGTGGTCCAATTTTAGCGATTAGGTTGACTAATATTTTAGCTAAGATCTGGGAATTAGACTTTATCCCATCTGACTGGTCGCAATCACTTATCGTCCCAATATATAAGAAAGGGTCAAAATCATCCTGTGACAACCACAGAGGGATTAGTTTAACAAACATAGTATCTAAAATACTGGCCTCGATAATTATCAGACGCCTAACTAAGACTCGTGAACTACAAACTCGAGAGAACCAAGCTGGCTTTAGACCTGGTCGTGGCTGCATCGACCACATATTCACCATTCGTCAGGTTCTAGAACACAGGCATACCTATCGGCGTCCGACGATGGTGGTCTTTCTTGACTTAAAAGCAGCATTTGACTCGGTAGACCGCGAGACTCTGTGGCAGTGTCTGTCATTAAAAGGCGTACCTCAGAAGTACATAAACCTTGTGAAGGCTCTTTACTCGAACACTACTAGTCGAGTCAGGGCTTATGGCGAACTGTCATCTACTTTTGCAACTTCAAGTGGTGTCCGTCAAGGCTGTCCACTTTCTCCATTTTTGTTTAACTTCATCATAGACCTGTTGATGGAAATAACATTCTCGTCTACTGAATTCTCGGGTATTGATCTCCTTCCAGGAGGTCCACTTATCGACTTAGAATACGCAGATGATATAGTCCTGTTTGGTGAAGACGCTGACAAAATGCAGAGTCTTCTGGTAGCACTAAGCAACAATGCCAGAATGTTTGGAATGCGCTTCTCTCCCTCTAAATGCAAGTTGTTGCTTCAGGACTGGTCTGTGTCAACACCTAAACTAAGGATAGGAAGTGAAGTAGTCGAACGCGTCGACAACTTCACTTATCTTGGAAGTCTGATCAGCCCTAATGGGTTGGTGTCTGACGAAATCTCAGCACGGATTCGAAAAGCTCGCTTGGCTTTTGCCAACTTACGTCACCTTTGGCGGAGGCGAGATATCCGTCTATCAATAAAAGGACGAGTATACTGCGCGGCAGTCCGTTCTGTCTTACTTTACGGCAGCGAAACATGGCCTTTAAGAGTAGAAGACACCCGTAAGCTACAAGTATTTGACCACAGATGCCTTAGAAATATTGCTGGCATCTGCTGGGATCACCGGGTAAGTAATAGTGAGGTTAGACGCAGGGTATTAGGAAATGATGGTAAATCAGTTGATGAGGTTATGAATCTTCATCGACTGAGATGGTTGGGCCACGTATTACGTATGCCTGAACACCGATTACCACGACGTGCAATGCTAACCGGTGTAGGGGATGGTTGGAAGAAAGTTAGGGGCGGCCAAACCAAAACGTGGCATCAGTGCTTGAGGTCACTAACTTCTAGTCTTAGCCATGTTGGTAGATGCAGACTACTTGGTTGGGGTCCGCGTGACTATCGTAACCAATGGTTGGAGACTCTTGGTGGCATGGCTCAGAATCGATCACAATGGCGTCGGTGTATACACTCTTTGTCTTCCCTTAAACTAACAGATTAAAATCACTTCATATCTTTCTTTCTACGAACTAATTCTTCCTTCCTATACTATATCCTTATTGCAACCTTTGACCTAACCACTGCTATGAATCCGGTGTTCATCTTGTTGTGCTAATGAGGTATGGCAACCTGGACCGATGCACATATGTGCCTGGTCCTACGTTGTAGCTGACTGACTGACTGAAGTTTCGTGCAAAGTTTATATTTTACTCCATCAGAGCTGCAGCCAGTGGGAGATAGGTAGAAACGAGGAAAAAGCAACGGTGTGTTTCTATCTTTCAGAGTTCTTGCTGTTACTTTGAGACGGAAAACACATAAAATGCTGTCAACAGGAATCCAGTTGTGCATGTTCTTCCTTATATAGTAATATACTTACACCAGCAAGACCACGAGGATCTGCTGTCATGCCCACAGATACACAAGGTGTAAATCATGTTAGTTGTCCATACTGGTTAAGTGATTTCAAGTGGATGACCACGTTAGAACCCCTTATACGTGGTCAGAAGATACGGTATACATCAGTGGCGCGATATTATGGTGTCTTAGTCAAACCTCTTTGCAATCTGATATATGTTTGGACATTCAAGACTTCAATATATGTGGGTTCATACCTGAAATAGTATTTTGTGAACTCGAGTGGTTAGCACTATTGGTACATATAAAAGTTGAAAACAGAAAATGAAGGTTAACGGTAGAAACAGAAGAAATATTGGGTAGTGAGGATGGGGTTTGATTATAAATGACGTGAGGTTGCTACTTCGCGGTTACCAACAATGAGGAAGGATAGTTCTTGATATCTGTAAAAGAGGCTGGGTTATCAGCAGTCTTAGCGGCTTGCAAGCGTGCGGCAATACATAAGGAGCAACTACTTGAGGCTGGTATCCAGGCGCACAATTTTCTAATACCACTCTCAAGCTAACGAGCTTTGGAGTACAAGCACTGACTATACTAGTTCTACAATTATCAGGTCTGTTTTTCTGAGATCTTACATTAAGACATGTTACTAATAAAAATAACCCAATAGACTAAATCTGAAATGATATCCTATCAATTTAGGGGAAGGTAATCAGACGAGGTATAGAAACTAATGAACCGATAGTTATGGCAAACTGCAATTATTCAAACTAAATCAAATTACTGATAATAGATCCTTACTTTCATTAGGTTCGTCTGAAAATCTGTAGAAAAATATCAGCCCAATGACAGACCCCATAATCATCGCACTGACTGCACAGCCTAAAATGAACAATTAAAGACTGAAAAACAGATTAAATGGTAGAAATGTGGCTTTGATGAACACTGAAAGTGTATTATTCATACATATTGATGAACTTTCCAGAATACTGTAATTACATTTATTCAAGTGATGAGAAATAATCAAACAGTGCTTCGTTAAGTTTATGATATTAAGCAATAACTGTAGAGTTGTGACTGTTCGGCTTGCATTTAAATAGTTTAAAACATTACTTGACCATATGAGTTTTGGAAGACTAGTACCTGTAATAAATACCGCTCACGGTTCAAGGACACATACGTAGTTGCTATTGCCTCGGGAACTCACAACCTATAAGTATGAGGTATTTTTGCATGCACAACTGTTGGGGGATACATAATTTCAAATTACAACTCATGAAAAGGAAATCAGTATCAATTAGGTTTAAATTCTGTTACAGCAAATTATATAATGTAAACACTATTCGCGAAATTTCAACGCATTTTTACGATATTTTAAAGTACTTGGTTTAAATATTCTGATCATTTTTTATGAATAGATCATGGAAAAACTTAATGTATTTTGATTAATTAATCAACATCACATAGCTTCGTCTGCAAGACTGGTGTTTTTATACTAGCTAGTGGGACAGGGAAAAGAAGGGGATAGAAGTAGTTTCATTCACAATACTGAAGTCAGAGTACGGTGCACCAACGTATAAACAACCACATAGCCAAAAATATACGAAAGAGTGAATTACATTATTTTTCAAATCACTGTAAGACATAATGGAAAATCAAATACCATAACAAACCGAAGCAAAAACAGGCGAAAAGGTATTGTATCTTAGGCCTTCAACAATACTTCTCTTTTACTAATATTATCCTTGCTTTCTATAAAGTATCAACATTATTTGAGTAATCAGTGAGTTCGAATGGCATTAAACTGATCGCATCTACTGATAAATGGGTATCGGAGTCGAAATTTGAACCCCCACTTGAACGATAAGTAATATCGCATAACAGCTGAAAACCCACTAAGAGACATATAAGGCTTTAAACAAAGTGAAGACTAACCTTGCAAAAGCATATCACATGACATCATAAACTTACTGCAATATATTTGATAAAATATATGATGGTCCATCAGACGTTTACAGCTCTAAACTTTATGTATGATTTAGTCTCAAACAGTCATGAAAATGAAGAACCTAGCGCAAATTTACATCGACCCAAATTGTTGCACTATACATCGCCATCAAAGTCAAAAAATAGGGGTCAAAGGAGTCGAACTAATACCTGTTACAACGATAGCAAAAGACTAAAACTAAGAAATGTACTCTAAAAAGAACTAATAGAATCCATGAATCAGGAGTATAGAATTATATTAAAACTCGAGATCTGAAAGTAAAAAATGGGCATGGAAATAAGATTTGAACACAACTGACTAACTGATTCTGGAAACTGACTACACTTCATCTACCTAATGCATATAACTAATACATAAACCAGTTGATCATTGAAGTACTATTCTAATGTGGTAGAGTTGAATGAAACAAAATATGTATTTACACTAAAAACTGGGTATGTAAAGCAGTTTTCTGACATTTTTAAACTGGTTGCGAGTAAACATTGAAAGATTACATTTTTTCGAACGGGATGTACTTGTTAAATAGATATATACTTTTGTAATAACCCTTATGATGAAATTAAGTGAACTACCATAATGATCGCTTTGATTGTAATAGGAAAAAGAAACTTTGAAGACACTATAACAACTAAGCCTAAGATCAACAGCTTAAATCATGTCCACTACTTATTGGTATAATTAGCTTCCATTGACAGTAACACTCAATGGTCAGAAACAGTGTATGACTACAGAAGCTTACTTTAAGTATAAAGCTCTGAAAACAAATAAGCGTCTGTACAGAAACAAAAACTTACGGGGCCAAATCCACATATTACATGAAGTAGCATATAGAAAACCTGCAAGAAGCAAGACAGCAACGGGAAATAGGATAACTGGTGTATCTTTAGGAAGAGTACCACAGTTGACTTCCAAACTAGCATTTGAAGTGGGTTGGTTATATACAGTACGGTAGAAACTGGGTGAAATTTGTGCAGGGCAACCAAAAAGAATGACAGGAATATAAGGCACTTGCCATGTATCACCAGAAATTGAATACTCCACAACAACAGTGACAATATATGCTGTAGCTGGACGACGTGAGACGATTATGTTAATAAATTCATCATTTGGTGTGAATTCACTATTAAAACAAGATCCAGGGTAAACTTAGTTGATACATTCAAATCCTACCAAAATATGCAGCAATAAGAAAACTGACAACAAACTTAAAATCTTATTTCCCTTTTAGGCTTACGTTAGTAATAGAAAGCCCCCAGATGCCCTGGTACGTCAGAGAAGGGAGTCAGCTCTCTCCCGAAATGCTCCCACATGGCCACGCATATACAATCACTACCAAGGAAGTCCCACTCACTGCCTTCTCGCGGAGGGGTGTTGTTTACGAAATTGCGAGGACGAAAACCGAATGCTCGGAGGTTTAACCGGGTTGATTGACTCGGAGGGTTCACCTAGGGGAGCCGAAAAACCCTGATTCCAAACCAATGTTGCGCAAATGGCGCATGAACCAATCATTGGTCACCGGCTACCATGGGACTGCATCGCCTGACGTTGCTTCGCTACCTTTAGGTCGAAGGCTCTGGGTGTGGTGTCTTAAGAAAACCACCTGCCTAGGTTTGGCCACCCGGGCAGCATCATAGCCCATGCATTAATCAACTGACTTGTGCGGTGCATATGTATTCGGTGCCCCTTTGTACCAATATTTATATATTCAAATAAATAAATAAATAAATAAATAAAAGTAATACAAAACTGGTGCTCCTTAAAGTAATTCATATAAACTGACTAAAGTGTACGGAAAACATCCACAATGAGAGACTTATAATACATAGGTACAGAACAAGTGAAATAGTATATCAATAACAAACCGAAAATACTGAGCTGCACGTAGTGAATTCATGCCTTAGGGGAATTAGCATTCGACTATCCACAATCGAAACCTAGCTCTTCTTAGCTTAAAACCAAAGAACTAAAGCCATATTTTGGAAATTAGGGTTATCAAAAACGTGATTGATTACTTGCTATTGCATGTGAAGGTACACTACAGTTAAAACAGATCAAAGCCCAAGAACGAAAGGGTACAAAACCTAAACTAAAACTTGCCACCGTTGTTTGAGTGGGTTCGATGTGAGCTATATCTAGAAATGTGTAATGTTGAATAGACACACGGCACCTAAGCTTGAAACAAACTTTCAGTATTATGAAGTTCTTGCGTAACTTATATGACTGTACACATAACGTTCCTGAGACCAATGACAATAACGCCAATGAGACACTTACCTCTGGTGAAATGACTGTATGTAAGTACCAACAAATGACGAATGGCCAAAGTTGGCCATGTTTTTTAAGACTGATGCAACTTCACTGGGACTAGGATTCACGAAGGCTCCATAAGAACCACCAGCAGTTATTAGTGGTGTACCATAAACGTGATAAACTAGGCTCCCTGATGGCTTACTTTCGGTAATCCAGTGAGAACACGCAAAACCGCCTGATCCGACAGGTGCCGAAGCTGGAGAGAGCTGGAGAGAAGACGTCCAATAGCTTAAAAACTCAATGCGTTTCGAGCTTGAAAGATTTATATTTTTAGTCATTATATCTGTAGTGATGGCTGCATTCATGAAACCACTACGCGAACTACGACCACAACCACCTGGCAATGGAACTACAATGACAGATATATAACACTACCATAAACATACATTCTGATCCATATGCAACAGCTTTAACCCACACAATTAGCGGAACACTGTAGGTAGAATAAACGTAGAATGTCGACAATGTTTTGTTTTCAACAAAACTAGCTAAGCCGCAATGAGCCGAGTATTGTGAAGTGTCATATGTAAACGAGGCTGATGTGGACACTAGTAGTGGGTTGAAGGGGCTGTGTACTTGATACACAACAAATTTGCTCCACGGCGGAATTTTGATAACTTCGACATACACCAACCCATTGACAGTGATGTTCGTGAATGACCCATGTTCAATAGTGATTACCGTATGAGAAAAACACTCCTGAATATACCCAGAAGTTAACAACAAGTAAGGGCAGAGTAGGAACCACAACATACCGCCCATATTGAATTGCCGCTCGTGCGGCTCCAATCAAAAACTTCGCGTCTTCACTTTACTTTTTCAGTAGTCAAAATATCATCCCCATAGAAACTTTGAACTTCTATGTATTCAGGAGAGACTTTTCTGACTTTTTACATTTTGTTTGTAAAAAAAAGTTTGTTCTATTCACTTCGTATTAAACTTCTGTGCATATTAAGTTCTCACTTCCAACTTTACCAGGTAGAGATAGCAAAACGCTTGTGCCTTTGAATCTATATCTAGTGGCAGAGAAAAGTTTTTGGTTATTAAGACATGGAGCTTTTATTCTGCTTCCTCTGAATCTAGAAAATATGGGTACAGGGTTTTTGGGAGCTTTAGCTGAACTGTATCTACCTTAAACTTCAAGCATCTGATCGTTAGATGGTACGTCGAATATCTCTAGGGTGAGAGATGACTAAAGCCTATCAACTGGCTGCATGCCATAGTCTGGCTCATGAGGCCATGGTTGCGCTATGTTTTTTCAATCTTTGCTTAATAATATATTTCCTCGGTAACGTCATATTTATCTAGATGGTCATCGAAGTAGCCTCAGCACCTGGGTATCAAGAGGAGGTAATTAACTCTAGGTATCAACCGCGGGGCGTGACATTGACTCAAACAAGGTCACAACATTCTTGGCCAAATCAAGAAGATTGGAACTGTACAAATGGATCATCCACATTGGTGATCTACATGTTCAACGATGGGAGGGATTATTGACACCTATTTACTCGCCAATAGTATCTGCGGAATTGAGGAATGGTGTATGCCTTCTTTTGAGACGATTAGTGAAGGTTTCGTCGATATGGCACCCTTCAGGGAATTCCACAACTTCCTGTTATGAACGTTATAATGAATTTTAATGCAAGTTATTTGGTTATGTATTCAAAAATTTCGTCTTCATAAGAGTAATGTAGTGCTTGTAGGACCAGCGAAATAACACAAGTATTTTGGACAAATTATCCGTCAGGTCAAACGTATCTCAAACTTGGAACACCGATCACTGAGAGAAATGTTATTTATTTTAACTTATGAAGTCGGACATGAATTAGTTAGGTGATACAGTGGACCTGCAACGTGTGGCAAAATAACCGCAACTTACCCACTGTAGTTTTTTTTCACTGGGGATCTATATACATGTATTCCCAACAAGATTTGCTTTGTTCTCTAAGTGTGCCAGAGAAGCAGAATATCTTGGTCGACAGGTTAGTTTGAACCAGAGTGAAAAATTGTTGGGTGGTGGAAACTCAACTTACACTGTTTCATCTGACTCTAGTAAAGCAAGAATACTAACTGAGCGGCACATGTAAGTTTGTTGGTTTTAATCGTTCAACCTTCATTAGTTAGTAATATTGAGAAAAGTCACTAAGTCTGGTCTCAGCTTTTGCTACACAATAAGGGAAGCAAGTAGGATCAGGGCTGTCTTGCTCAAACACACAAACGTTCACTAGTAAGTGGGAGAAAATGGGAATTGTTTATTATATTTATTTATTTGAACACATAACATAGGCAAAATGGGGCACCAAATACATACGCTAAACACAATACCAGTGGGGCCAATGGTAGTTATCGTCGATTTGTGTGAGGGCTGTGATGTCAGGGTTTCCAAAGCGAAGTAGATGGCTTTCTTAAGGAGCCACTACCGAGCCTCCACAAGCTGTGGAAGACAATAACTACTGGCGATTATGCTTTTATTCTAATAGCGTATTATTGGTAGACTCTTAACCGTTAATCCCTGTTTGCATATCTGTTATACCGATGACAGTCTGACACGTATATACCAGCCCATCTAACTGACCTATTTGGTTAAACATAATTATTTGCTATATAAGGCATCATGATACTTTCCCTGTTAAGTTAAGGAGACAGCACGTAGAAGCTGTTTTCTGTATTGAGCCCTGGGTAAATACGAAATTTTTTGTTAGTTTAGAGGTAAAACTGTAACAAATTGGGTTGATTACTTAACAATTGGATGTAAACATCTTAGTAATGTCAAAATATCAGAGCTTAAGTATGTATCCACTTCATATTTCCTATTATTCTGTATTGAATGTCGAAAAAACCTTGTGTGTTTGAAAAGGATAACTAGGCGCTCAATCTGTTCTGCTCCACGATCTAACTGAAGACCTATTCACTACTAGTCTGTCTTCTTTGAAAGATTAAATGAAGCTTCTCACCAACAAGAAATAGGTGGGCTCCGTTTTGAACACAATGTTAATTTCTGTTTTGCTTATTACTTTTGTTTTCTTAGTCGTAGAGTAAACCTTCTGATCATCTTCAACATAAACTCCTTATATGTATATACGTTTACATATATATTGTCCTTTATCAAAAAGTATTCGTGTTTAAGTTATTTGTTACGCCTTTCATGTCACATTAATATATATATATATATACTCTTCCCCCTCCTTCAGTTGTCAAAGAAGTCTGTGACTTGATTTTGAGTCCACCAACATCTAAACCACACACCATTTTCAAACGAGAGATAATGAACCATCTCTATCTGTCAGACGACCAAAGAATCTAAAGGATTTTACAAGGAGAAATGTGGGATGATAGTTCACCATCAAGTCCTAATCGACGATAACATACTGGGTAAAGCAGTCCTTAAAAAAAGATAGATGCAAGCTTTCCTATGCTTCATCCAACACTGTTTCGGTGCTCAATACCTGAATCATCAAAAGACTCAGTCATATCAGGACTCATTGTAAGTGTTAAGAGTCTCACAAAAGCTGTAACCAAAATACGAACGGGCCGTAGAAACAGGAGCAAGTCACCGCAACGACCGAGACCCAAGTCACAGGGTAGGTCACAAACGTCCAGACAATCTGGGAAGTGCTGTTGCTATCACTATAATTTTGGTGTCAAATCAGCCATATGTAGTCTACCATGTAGTTAGTCCAAACAGACTCCCAAGAATATGGGAAACGAGCACCCCCCGACAGGACTCAACGACTGAAAAGAGGTGCCTGAAGAGTCACTCGTTTTATGTTAGGGACAGACATTTAGTCTTGAGCATTTCTGTGGCTACCGGCGTGGCATTTAGTCTCATTTTTCAGAGCAAACCTGAGATGTATCAAAAACCTCACCGGTCACACTTCAGTCTGCTAACCAAAATAAAATCGAAACGCTTGGGTAGAAAACGATGACACAAAACTTGAGGTTTAGGAAGAAAATTTCCTCGATGTTCCCTGTAGTCCATTTGAATCTGGCAATGTTGGGAATGGGTCTTAGTAATTCATTCTGCCTTATTCGAGTTTTAGAGAGTATTATTTTCAGTCTCATAAAAACATAAATTACTTTCGTTTTATCCATAAGTTGTTCAGATACCTGTACTGATAGTAGATCACCGCGTCTATCCACTGGTTATTTCTCTTACCGCTCGTAGTGCAAGTAGCTTTCGAATTCACTACCATCACCATGCCCAACGAGCAACAGCATTTACTCAGAAGATCTCTGTCCTGTTGTGTACCACTTAAGTTATGTGACTTTGTGGTGCTTGGTCCCTAACCATATTCTCTTTGAAACTGGGCATATAATTACTGAGACTTACATCTAACATGTAGCACCTAGGGAACGCCAATAATTTAAAACACGGGAACACTATATCTGCATGACATGGCTCAGCCTAGTAGGAGTGGTCATCTGTGTAGCTCATACCTTTTCACATGGAGTATATTATTTTATCTCCAGTCGAATTGTGTCCTTCAAATGTACTAAACGTCTTATTGCCGATTGTCATGATATAAGGAGTCAGTGCACACTATGATGTGACTTCAACGTAAGGTCTTATAAACCAGGTAATGACGTCATGACAAGTCTACAGTTTTTTTGGTTATGTCTCTTATTATAGTAACAAAGGTAAATGTAGTAATATCGAAGTAGACTTCAATTTGACAACCCAACTCATACATTAATGGAGAGTAATTCACTTATCTGATATCCATATGGATAGGAACTCGCAATGTGTACAGAATAAGACCATGAATAGAGGAGAGCTCAAATGATAAATTCGTAAATTGTCGACAACAATTGAAAAAGCGTGAAACGTAGACGAAGGGTACAATAGCTAACATGTCTATTACTTATACAATAGAAATACATGTGATAATTCTCCATAGGATAGTTCTTAAAGTTACAGCTATCTCAATATTCCCCCCTCCCGATAACAATTGCTGTTTCGTTCAAGTAAGTATGAGGACAAGGTTTATTTAGATTCATTCTGATGTTCTAAAGTTTCTCCCGGGTAATAAATGAGTCTATTGCATCGGCAACTTTGGTTGTTTAGTGCTATGCAACTTCTGTGAGAGAACAAGATTACCTGTATTTTTAACTCATTTGCGTTGGTTTTCTCAAACTCAAAAGGTGCATGTTTATCATCTTTGTGAGGATTCACTATATGTGTTAATGGAAGCATGTCTTTTTGTAAATAATAATGACCAACTTAATGAGGTTAGGGTATTATGCAAAGTGACTCTGCGTTTCCAATTTTGTTCGTTTCTGTTTTTAACAAAATATAGCCATATAGTTCATTCTTTAAACCATACTGTGTTTCGTCCAGATTTTGTTCTCGTCCATTATTGAAGCACAGTTTATTGATTCACTAATAACCTACAACCCAACTAAAAAGCGAACTAATTCAAACTCAAATACCAACGTTTATTCGTAAATTACAAGTAATCAACACAAATATATCATTTTTCAGTCTTTAGGTCTTCGAAACGAAAATTTCCAAAATGCCAAACCAAAAAACAAACTGAAACCAACATGTTCATGCCGAAAATATAAACAGACAAGGTCAAAGGTTAATCGAAGAAAATACATCTAAAAGTGTGTTCATTATTCAGTATAACAGTTCTAATCAGTTAAATATATTCAGTTCTTTCCATAATACTGTTGTAGAACGGTAATCAGGTCATCTTTTAAAAGTAATTTGGGCTAGTGACTCAAGGAAGGTCTTGCTCCAACGTAGTGTTGTATAGGTT